AACCTTTGAAAATACCAATTCTTAGTCCGAGGGACTTCCCGAGTCCAGATCAAATTGAAAAATAACCTAGTGACAGACCACCCGGTTCTGAGCTGATGGGAATTACTTTCAACCCAGGCCAGCATGTCCTTTAGATGAAATGTTCCACATACCAAGCCTGACAGCAGCCAGCTCTTGGGAGCAGGGGAGCCAAGTGCCATCTATTACAGAACATATCCACGATCACTGTGTCATGGGGCCATTGCTCTGGGCCCAAGTCCCTGTGGGGGCAGCTGGGGTGGCAGGAAGCAGCCAGCGTCAGTGCCTTTGACATTTAGATCCCTGTGCTATAGGACAGAGGGTCTGCCTGTCATCACAGAGTGATGTAGCCTTGGCCCCTGGCAATCATTTCCTGTTTCAAGTGTTCAGTTTGGTGTAGGATTGTAGCACAATGGATGCTATCAGAAGAAAAAGGACAGAGTGTCACGTGGAAAATTGTTGATAAACTGATAACTCCAGGGTTAGAGGAACTGACTCATCCGCCCCCACTGTCTCGTGGTGGAGGACAGTCTCCCTCCTTCTCTCTTTTGGGCCACATTCTGGCTCAGAAGTCAAACTATGTAATTTCTGGAACTGTCGGTGTTTTTCTTCACCCCATAGAACACATGTGGAACAGAGCTTTTCTATCATAAGAGCTGCCAGGTACCTCAGAGTTCAGCCTTGTCACTGTGTGGAATAAATTGGGTGGTCATGCACAAGACCCTTAACTTCAGAGCCTCAGTTTATGCATATAAAAGATGGGAATATCAGTGCCTACCCTGTCTGTCTCACCCATTTGCCATGAAGACCAACAGGGCTGATGAGAAGACAGTGCACTCTGAGTGAGAGGGAAGGGGCTTGGGCCATCACATCTTCAACCATTCCCACCATCGTTCAAGGAGTTTTTGCTCAGACACACCCTCACACAGGCTTCCAGGAATGTCTTCAAATGTTTTCCCTCTTTCTCTGGAATTATCTCCTCTTCTGCACTGCTACTGACTGTCCCACTGCTCAGTGGGCTGCATCCCAGCCATATGCCCAGCCCCGGCAGATACTTCAAACTGCTCATTCCTGTGGTTCCCAACACAACCGTACCTCTTCTCGACCAATGATTTTGCTTTCCAATGCTCAGAAAAAGAGGGACAGAGAGGCAGGAAGGCTCTCTGATTCTCTCCCCCAAACATATCCACTCTAACCATCCTTAACTCCTGGCCTCCTGGTGCAAAGGCTCCTTGCATCTACTACCAATGCCTCCACTTAGAATCTTCCTCCCCTGAAGCTTCCTCAGGGATCCACAACATCACTTGTCCCTTCTCATTACTGGACCTTTGCTTTTTTCCTTGCTACCAGTCCCTTCTCAGCACACACAAAGGGGAATTTCGGCCATGGAATTTGTGTCTCTGTGGGAACATGTAAGAGGTTTGGACTTTAAATAGGGGGCAGAAGAATAAAAACTCTGGGTGAAGACAAAAGTGGGGTGGACGTGGACCTTTCAGGAGGCCTCAAGGATAGAGAATTGAAGACTATATAGAAGTCACATGAGTGTGGTTGCTGGAGACTGCAGGGGTTCTTGCATTGTCCAGACTGTCACCTTTCTTCCTTGGGCTCTGTTCTTCCTCTCTCCATTCCTCTCCCTGACTTTTATGCCCAAATCCCATCTTGAATTCTAAAAGCTCGGGATAAAATCAATGTCTTTTAAAAAACACAAGTCCAGACCCTGTTAAATCACTGAGAGTGGGATAAGGCACTCCCCACTGAGGCATCACTATGCTTTTGTTTTACAAATAATAGAAAACCATCCTTGCTCCACAGAGCTGTTGAAGATATGACCTAATGAATCCTAACAGTAGCTGCAGCCAGATAGCCTTGGGACTGTCAATCAGACGGTCAACCCTCCCCAACCCCCAGTGGTGAACAGGATCCCACCCAGGCCAATCAGCCTCTCTCACCAGGAACTTAGATTGGATGGAAGGCAGAGAGTTGGAACCAAGCCATTAGGACAGCAACCTCCTGGAGAGATCTCTTGAGTTCCTGCCTCTGGGGTTCTTGGAGCTGCCATCTTTCAAGTCCTTCTTGAGGCTTGGCTGTTGAGCTTTTTCTTAAATTCTGTGAGATATTCAGTATCCTTCCGATTACTTCCATTTCAGTTTTACTCAGGAAAGATTTGTTTCTTGCAACCAAAGTACCTCTGAATACCATCCTCAGAAAGTAACTGACTTGGGCACTGTGGCTCATGCCTGTAATTCCAGCACTTTGGCAGGCTGAGGTGGGCAGATCACTTGAGCCCAGGAGTTCAAGACCAGCCTGGACAACACAGAAATTAGCTGGGCATGGTGGTGTGCACCTGTAGTCTTAGCTACTTGGGAGGCTAAGGTGGGAGGATTGCTTGAGTCCAGGAGGCAGAGGTTGCAGTTAGCTGAGATCATGCTAATGCACTCCAGCCATGGTGACAAAGTAAGAAAGACTCTGTCTCAGAAGAAAAAAAAAAAGGAAAAGAAAAAAACAAAGTAACTGACTTGCTACCACACAACCTTCTCACACCATCTTTATGAAACACCGGACATCAGATCCTGAAAGTACTTTATTCTCAAAGTCTACAAAATAAGTATTGTCATTATGCCCGTTTTGCAGGTGAGGTACTGAGGCTCTGAAAAATGTGGCCATCTGTCCAAGGTTATAGCTTAAACCAGGAATCTTGGTTCCTCCATGTCAGTAAAACTCACTGTACCCCAAGTAAAAGACGTCATTGAAAGGAAAGTGGGAGGCTCTCTGGCCAACACAGCACCTTTCTCCATCTCTCTCCACACATATTCTCCCATCTCTGCTTCTGAGGATCTGCTCCATTTTCCTGCCTTCCTCTGAAGAGTGGCTTTTCCCTGCTCATTCATCAGTAGGCACATTGCTGAAAAAGGCTGCTTCAGCCCAAATCCTAAATACTTAGTTATTCACTTCAAGCTTCCACCATCAACGAGTCTATGTCTCGTAGCTTGAATTACTAAGAAAAAAACTGCTTGGTGCCTGGTCATCTGGGGTAGGCTGAAGAATGTCCTCCTACTTCCTCCCAAGTATACCTGCACTCTAATCCGTGGAACTTGTGGATGTTACCTTATATGGAAACATGGTCTTTGCAGATGTGATTAAGTTAAAGATTTTAAAATGGAGATTATCTTGGATTATCAGGGTGGGCCTTACATGCAATCACATACAGCCTTATAAGAAGAAAACAAAGGACGATTTGGCACAAATAGAAGAAGAGAAGCTGATGTGAAGATGGAGGCAGAGATTGAAATGATGCAGCCACAGGCAAAGGAATGCTTACAGTCATCAGAAATTGGAAGAGACAAGGGGCAGATTCTTCCCCAGAGATAGACTCTAAAGGGAGCAGAGCTCCCTTAATCTCAGCCCAGTAATACTGATTTCAGATTTCTCATGCAGAATTGTGAGAGAATACATTTCTGTTATTTTAAACCATAATATTTATGGTAGTTTGTTACAGCAGTCACAGGAAACTAATGCTAATACAGCAGCCAATGGATTCATTCATACTGCACTAAGTGTCCAATCAGCTGTGTCCAGGAGGATGTTTACAGGAAAAACATAGCCACTGAGGCCTGCTCTCTCAGCTATGGGAAGAAAGTAGAGGGTTGATTTTCAGAGAAAAGGCATGGGCTGGGAGACACCTGCATTCATCCTACCACTAGTCTCTGACACCTGCTATCATGTGTAAGCATTGGGATGTGCAGGGCAGCAGACTTGCCTAAATAGGCACCAAACCTAGTGCTCTCCCTTCCCCTCCCAAATAGGAAATGAGTTCATAAACAGCATGGTTAATGTTAATGCTGACTTGCGGGAAAATAGGTGAGGCTGGAAGGTGAGTCTATTCATTCAGCTAATTCTAACAAGAGTTTACTAACACCCTGTTTTGCCAGGCCTTGGGATAAGTGCTTAGCACAGGCACAAATCTATAGTCTAGAGAAAGATAAGACCTGCACATCCTGGATAGTTGGAAAAAATATAAAGAATCATTTAATCATTCATTTATTCAACAAAAGTTTACTGTGCACATAGATGTACTAGGCTAGGTGATATTGCAATAAAATATGTAGAGTCACTGTCTTCATGGGGTGAGAAAAAGAAATAAGCAGATAAATAGCAAAATAACAGATTGTAAAACGGGCTATAAAGGAAAGGAGTAAGTAATGAGACAGAGAATCAGGTGTATGAATTGGCAGTGGCAAGTGGTGGTGGTGGTAATCGGGGCTTGGAATCAGAAGTTAGATTTAGGGTGCGTGTGAGCAGTGTGGATGGAGAAATTTAAAAAGTAGTTGGATTTAAACCTGAGGATGGGGGAGAAGTTTTGAGCAGGAAGTGGAATACATAAATTATTTATTTATTTGAGACAGAGCCTCACTCTGTCACCCAGGCTAGAGTGTTTCTTTGTTTGTTTATTTGAGATGGAGTCTTTCTTTGTCACCTGGGCTGGAGTGTAATGGCATGATCTTGGCTCACTGCAACCTTTGTCTCCTGGGTTCAAGCGATTCTCCTGCCTCAGCCTCCCGAGTAGCTGGGATTACAGGCACCCACCAGCATGCCTGGCTAATTTTTGTATTTTTAGTAGAGACGCGGTTTCACCACGTTGGCCAGGCTGATCTCGAACTCCTGACCTCAGGTGATCCTCCCGCCTTGGCCTCCCAAACTGCTGGGATTACAGGCACGAGCCACCGCGCCTGGCTGGAAATTTGTTACTTAGAACGGTGGAAACGGGTAGGAAAAAGAGCATATAGGGAAAAAGGTGTAAGTTTTAACTTTATGCATAGGGAAGGACATAAAACACCATCTGCTTGTGAATAAGTGGTTTAGAAGAAACAATCTACAAGGGCCCGGAAGACTTCCGGCCCTCTCCGCCTTTAACTAGACTACATTTCCCAGAATGCTGCAAGAACCGGGCGTGACTCGGAAATCCCTCCCAGCCACCTCCGGCGCAAGTGGCCGCTGATAATCATGGCGCCCCTCAGAACCACTGTGTCGCTGTGGAACCTCCTGAGGGGTTCTCCAGGCATGAAAAGGGTCTGTTTCCGGGCTCGAATCCAGCCCTGGCACGGTGGCCTGCTCCAACCGCTACCTTGCTCTTTCGAGGTGGGGCTGCCACGCTGCCGGTTCAGCTCCGAGGCCGGTAAGTGACCTTCCGGACTTTCGCTGGGGCGTTCTTCTGGGAGACGTAGATCCTGTTTCTGGCAGGCGAAAACCACGCGGTAGCCTCTGCGACACATGTCGTAGCGCTTCCTCAGATTCGGCTGTCTTCCTTCTGTACCTGTGGAGTTTGTCCTCACCTGCATACCTGTTCATTCGTTCACTCACTCAGCTACAGTGCCTGAGTTCCGCTCCTTGCAGAGTACTCTGCTAAGCCCCGTGGGATATGGCAAACTAAGACTGACACAGACCTTTCCCTATGGGAACTCATGTCCATGGGGAATTGGCAGTGCAGTGTGACCCAGGCTGTGATAGGGGACGCACACAGGAGAGGCACTCAAACTAGGTTGGAAGGTCAGGGAAGGGTTCCTGGCAAATATGACCAAAGCGAGTGCTGGTTAGCCATGCTAAGGAGAAAGCAAGAAGCTTCTCAAGCATAAGAGACAATAGCAGATGTCCAGAAATGAGACTGAGCACAGATATTTGGGAACCCATTTTGGAGGTAGGATTGATAAGGCTTGATTAAGGCTTTGGATATGAGTTTAAAGGGACAAATTAGGATTGTTTCTTAAGTTTTTGACTGGAATAGAGGTTTGTCCCATTTACACTAAGATGGAGAAGATTAATTGTTGGAACCGTTATTTTGGGGCGGGGGGGTACTGCAGGAGTAGATGAGATCAGGAGATGGGAAAGGAGGCAGAATTAAACCTATTTGGGACACATTAAATTTGAGGTGACTTTGAGAGTCATCTGTTCAGTATGGAGTTAGATATAAAGTGAGGAACATCGGAGTAAAAATGGTAACTAAAGCTGAGCGAATGGGTGAGACTGAGGAGAGAGTAGTGTTGAGCACCTGCTGTGTGCTGGATACCCTAAGGAACTCTGGGTGCCAGAGATGAGTATTACACAAGGTTCTGGTCTTCATAGAGCACATCACTTAGTGAGAGACATAGTGTAAGTAAGCAGACCATCTTAACATGTTTTCTAAATGATGTTGGAAGCCATTCGGGAATTTTAAGCTTGGGAGTAATCTTGATAACATTTTAAAGAGATTACTCTGGTTGCTCTGTGGAGAATGATCTGTAGTGGGGCCAGAATGGAGAAAGGGAGGCTGATGCAAGAGATGAGGATGGCCTTGACTAGAGTAGTAGCAGTGGGAAATGGAGGATTAAAATGAGATTTATGAAGGCAAACAATCAGTATATTCTCTGCCAGTGTTTTTGTTTTGTTTTGTTTTGTTTTTTTGTAAAATGGGGATAATCATAGTGTTACCTCGTGGGTTGTTGTGAGTATTAAATGGGCTGAATGTGTAAAGTACTTAGTTCAGTCAGTATTGGCATGTAGTAAATAGCTAATAAATGGTAGCTCTTATAATTACTGTTATTATTACTACAGCTATTTGATTACTATTGTTATTACTATTGCTATTGGCTAGATCTGGAGGATCAGGGAGAATTTAGGAATGACTAAGATTTCTGGCCTGTATGACCTACTGGATGATGCTGAAATAGGGAACAGTAGAAAATGCAGGTTTGAGACAAGGGAAAGTTGATGGGTTCTGACTTGGCAGCATTCAAGTACATGAGAGAGCTTGGGTAATTGGATGGAAGGTGATCTTTGCTGGAGATTCAGATTTTAGAGTTTCTGGCATATAAAGGTAATTGAAGTCATGGGAGGATAGGAGAAATCATCGAGTAGGAATCTGAGAAGGGAGAAAAGGACATCGTTCAGAATCTGTAGGGATACCAACATTTGTAGGACTGGGAGAGGAAGAGGTGACTAGGAACAAATGACTTTTTCTTTCTTTTTTGTTAATGGAAATGGAAGTAGAAGTTAGGCAAAGCAGCAGGCAAACTGCATGAGGCAGAGCTAAGATTTGATTCTCTGCTTATGTCAAAGGCTCTTCCATAATACCACACGGCCTCTTCAGTATCATGTCCAGTGAACCAAGTCTCTCTTTCCTAGCTGCAGTCTCTTAGCCTAGACTTTACCTCCCTTTTTTCTCTACCATGATTAGGCTCTTTGGACGCTTTCTTTGACCCTGTCACGCCCATCCCTAGTTCAGGCTATGCTGAGTTTCTTCCTCTGCAATCATCCAAGCCCCATACTTCTCCTGTATACCATACCTCTCACATTATGTCTCCCCACACCTCCCACTTACACCGAGGAGCACTATGATAAATTGGAAACCATCTAGGATCCAGAACCAGACAAACCTTGGTTTAAATTTTGACTCTATCACTTAATAGCTAGTTGTCTTTTGGTAGGCTTCAGCATCCTCATTTATGAAATTGGGTTTATCAGTACGTATTTTGTGAGTGGTTATAAGCATTCCTGAAAATGTATGTTATATCTGCCATATAGGAGACAACTCTGTAAGTGGCAGCAACCATTACAGTTATTACATTAATTACTTTATTCCTGTTACTTCCTCTAATAGCCTGTCCTTTTCGCAGAGACTGAGTCTATCTCCTTATCGTAATGAAAGATCAGTAAATCTTAAATGAAGAAATGAATGAATGCATCTCATAGGTATTAGCATTTTGCAGTGCCAAGGTAGACATTGTGCTAATGCTTTTTATTGTTAACTTACTTTTCTATTTAGAAGTCTTGTTAGCTTGTTGTTTTTGTCAGCTTCTTATTTACTAAAGTCCATTTTAGCAGAATCTGGTAGCCCAGAGACCAAGAAACCTACATTTATGGATGAGGAAGTTCAAAGCATACTCACAAAAATGACAGGCTTGAACTTGCAGAAGACTTTTAAACCAGCTGTACAAGAACTGAAGCCACCAACCTATAAGCTAATGACTCAGGCACAGTTGGAAGAGGTACGTGAATGCAGGAATATTTTGTTAGAATACCTTTCTTTAAGGGGTTAAACAACATTTCTAGAGGCCCCTCCAGATGCTTGTAGCTATTCTTCCATAGGCACTAGTGAAAGGTAGTACCAGGCATAGGACTGAGAAAAGAAATGTGAGTAGTCAGCCAGAGAGGGGCAGGGAGCATGGCTGGAATTGAGCAGACTAGGGCGTATGGATCAGGTCTGGGTATTCAGAGAGTATCCTCTGTCCTCTCAAGCCAGCCTGAGCACCCTTCCTTTGTCCTGCTTGCTCCAGCTTCCTTCCTGGAGAAACATCTACTGTGATCTGCCTTGGAGCTGAAGCTTTGGGGATACTGTGAGATCCTGCATGGAAACAGGATGTTTTCCAGGCACCAGTGTCCTCCTCAGTACCATGGGTACTGCTTTGTGGAAAACACTTTGATGTATGAATACGTAAAGCATTAATACTCATCTTTCTGATTCAAAAGTAATTTATAGTCAGCAAAATATGTATCTCTCTCTCCAGTAGTAGATTACATGAAGAGTAAAAGTCCCCCTTTTCACCTCCTAGAGGTAACCGCTGTTAACAGTATGGCATGAAGCAGTGTAGTCAGTGGTTAAGAGAATGGGCTTTGAAGTTGGGTTGTCTAGGTTCAAATACCAGTGCTGCAATTTCCTAGCAATTTACTTAACATCTGTGTGCCTCTGGTTTTTCTTATGTAAAATGTAGATGATAACAATTGCACCTAACTCATAAGGTAATTGAGGCCATTAAATGAGCCAAATACATTGAGACTATTTGAACAATATCTGGCCATAGTAAGCACCCAAAAACTGCATTCTTTTATTCTGTTTCGAGCAGCTTTTGTAGCCTGGCTTTGCTCAAAGCATTCCTTTGTGGTTTTGATAATGGTTGAGCCTATAGCTGGTGGTCTCAGCCACATCGCAGAGGCAAAGGCCAGGGCTCACAAGTCCAGGTTTGGTGTTTTACTCACTGATTTGTGGCTACAGCTTCTTTTCTTTGAAGTTTTTTGCATTTTTTATTAGTATCTGCTTTTGTCAGATGATCCTTCTGTTATGTAACCTTGTGGCTTTCCTTAATAAATATTTTCTTTCATTAGGCTACAAGACAGGCAGTTGAGGCAGCTAAAGTACGATTAAAAATGCCACCGGTTCTGGAAGAGCGAGTACCAATAAATGATGTGTTAGCTGAAGATACGATTTTGGAAGGAACAGAAACAACCAAATATGTGTTTACTGATATATCATATAGCATACCACACCGGGTGAGTATATGTCTACTTGCAAAATGATCTTTGTTTGAAATACCATGTGGAGAAGGGCTTGAGAGATGATGTGACCTGGCTGTCTCTGATGCGTCCAAACCAGATTTCCTCTGACTGGGTGAGACCCTTCTGGAAGACACACTATAAGAGGCATGAGAAATGCAGACCAGCCCCATGTTATGATGCTACCATTTCTCAGCAGATAATAGGCACAATATTTTCCAGATTCCAGATGTGCTGAGGCAGAACAAGGGGTACACAGATACAGACAGAAACCCATCCCAAACCACAAATGGATAAAAATCTATAAGGCAGTGGAATCTGGAGACTCTTTTTGCCTAAGTTAGATGGATTTCTTTAGCTGAAGCTTTTTGAGAAGATAGAATGTTTCTGTCCTATAAATTCCTTGATGATGCCAAGAAACTCAATCATCCTAAAGGATTTTCACTTTCCAGAATTTTCAGTAAGAATGACAGATGTTTCTCAGATAATTTTCAGGCGTCACCACTTCTTCTGTTGTGATTGTTATTCTCTGGCTCCTCTTTCCTTGATTGCAAATTTAAAAGAACACTCTGGCATTTTAGAAATATATCAGTTTTGTATTTGAGCCTTTGCAAGTAAAGAATAAAAAGAGAGTAGTTTACAGTTCAGCCCACAGAATGCATTAGAACACTATAGAAGGCTGAGTTTGGGAGAAGGTCCACTCCATATTAATCTTTTATTATACATGATTATGGTTAGAAAATGATTTGAGCTGTGTTCAACACCAGCCATCTGTATACTTGACATAATGAACATGAGTCACAGAGTTTCAATTTTAATTACAGTTTTTGCTTTGTGATGCTTTAATATATGTTTGCAGTGCTCTGAAGGCTGGTTGGGAAGCATTTTGTAACTTGAAAGGGAGAAAGGAACTTGGAATTCAGGTTTCTCAAATTACCAAAATCCTTCTGAGGAAAAATTGTATTACGTTGGCATGTGCTTTTTTTTCCTGATTGACTGTTGATGAAAGTTTTAATTATGTTATCTTGAGAACATATTTAGAGACTCCTACACCTCTGAAAAGTTGAGAGTCAGTATGGTTTGGTTAATTTATACATTAATCAGGTGTGTATCAATTAGCAGTGTGCGAAGCTCCATATATGCCACTCTGGGTATTGCAAAAAATTATAATACACATTTCCTGCCCTTTTCCAGTTATATTATAATATCTGAGGGGTGCCAAAAATCTTGCCCAGCATAAATTTCCAGTTGAATGGTATAAAAAGTAGGTAGAATTTAGAGGAGGAAGTGATCCCATGGCCTGGGACTTGGCAGTTGGAAGAGCGAAGTGACCAGACAGGTGGACCAGACAGCCTCTCAGACATGTTTACGTCTCATGCCAATATGAGAAATCATAGAAGTGTAGAAATAAGACTCCCCATTCTTGGGTTTTTTCCTTTTATCCCAAGGACTTTAAACATAGATCATAAAGTAGTAAAATCTGTTTAGTTGAGATTTTGGGATAGAGAAATGAAAGTTTGGAAAGGTCATAGCACTTCTTTCCTCTAAAATGCATATAGATGAATCTCAGCTTAGCTTTTTTTGTATCGAACTCACGTTAGCACTATAGTTGGTACTTACTGAATACTTTCATTTTAGATTTCTGATTGTCAGATGCACAGCAGTGATTAGTGAAGGAAGTATCAAACCTTGCCAAGTCTTTGAGGTTTAAAATTATCATTGAACTCATATGCATGATTGCATTTTATATTGTTGATTGCAAATTATTCTTATAATGGCCTTAGTGGGACACAGGAACTAAAAATAAGTCCTCACAAACGCATCCTTGATTATGTTTTTCTATTTTAGGAGCGTTTTATTGTCGTTAGAGAACCAAGTGGCACACTACGCAAAGCCTCTTGGGAAGAACGGGACCGGATGATACAAATTTATTTCCCAAAAGAAGGTCGTAAAGTTTTGACACCAATAATTTTCAAGGAAGAAAATCTTAGGGTAAGGTGACTTAGGTTTTATATTTTAGAGCCAGTGGCGGCGATTTATTTGTAGAACCAGTTGGCTTTGTGCCTTGATCCAGATAAACATTTCTAATGGTAACTTGACTTCTTTGTTTTTTTTTTTTTGAGACGGAGTTTCGCTCCTTTCGCCCAGGCTGCAGTGCAGTGGCGGGATCTCAGCTCACTGCAACCTCTGCCTTCCAGTCTCAAGCGATTCTCCTGCCTCAGCCTCCCGAGTAGCTGGGATTGCAGGTGCCCGCCACCACATCCGGCTAATTTTTCTATTTTTAGTAGAGACGGGGTTTCACCATGTTGGCCAGGCTGGTCTCGAACTCCTGACCTCATGGTTCGCCCCCCCCCCCCCCCCCCCCCGCTCCGCCTCCCAAAGTGCTGGGATTACAGGTGTGGGCCACCACACCCGGCTGACTTCTTTCTTAATAGAATCCTCCTTCCCACCTAAGATGGGTTGTACTAGGGTTCTCTCCTAATTGGCTTAGCTGGAATTTGAATCTAGGTGTGACAATTACAAAGCCTGTGTTATTTCTTTATGCTTCTTCATGAGCACGGAGTGGCCAGTATGTGGGTGGGCAGGCCTGTCATGGCATCAGAACAGGTGCTGAACTTCAGTGTTCTCATGTGATGCTAACTCTGCTGTGTGGTTTTTAGACTATGTATAGTCGGGACAGGCATGTTGATGTCCTCAATCTCTGCTTTGCCCAGTTTGAGCCAGATTCCACTGAGTATATCAAGGTGAGTATATTTTAGTTTCTAAAATGTAGGCTTAAGTATGGTTATGAGTCTGATTTTTAATCTAGCTCAACGAATTTGGTTATAAGTTTTGATACAGGGGAAAGGGAAGAGAAATACCTGAAAATCTGTTGAGTACAGATGTGTGCCAGATATATATTTTATCATCACAACCACCCTTGATTAAAGATGAAGGAATTTAAGCTTGTAGAGTTAAGTAGCTTGCTGAAAGTTGCATAGCTACTAAGTGGTAGGGTAGTTTGATAACCCAAGTTTGATGACAAAGTCTATTCTCTTAAAAAGTTTACCATATAGGAATCAAATTATTTACTAAACTTTTGCCAAAGTACAGTGTGTTTGTCTTACAGCTCAGTAAGTATTCATTAGTACCTTCTATATGTAAGGTATTGTTTTGGGCGTATAGGTGATGCCACGAACTAGGATAGGGTATGCTGTGCCAAAGCCAGCAGTCCAGATATGGCTGCGGGGAAAGGTGCTAGTACGTATACAGATAATTATCTCCTCAGGCCTAAAATGGTAGACATTAAAAGATTACAAATTCTTTGAAGAAAGACTTCATAGGGGTGTTAAGGAGGGTTCTAGAAGTGTAGGAAATGTTGTGGCATGTATATGTAGGGGAGTGATTCAAGATTAAGCTAGGAAGGTGGATGCAGCCACATCATAGGTGACCTCAGATGCTAGGCTGAGGAATCTGGAATTCAGTCAGCAGACCTTTGAAAGCCTTTTGAACAGAGGAATGCCCCCATTAGAACCTTCATTTAAGAAGATCAATCTGGAAGGAGGACTGAAGGACTTTTAGTAAGATGGAATGGGCTAGCTGGTAGAAAAGGGTAGTTGATGGGAGGGATAGGGGAAAGGGAGAGTAGTGAAAAGATATTCTTGATTAATTTTCTCCAATAGTGACCAAGAAGTGGGCGCTACATTATTTCCAGTGGTCTCTATATGCATAATTGGTGCTTAATAAATTACAGTTGGCCTGCCAAAAAGTAATTAATATGGCTATGTTTGGTATCTTGCTCCAGGCTGCCACATACTTCTACAGTAGAGAAGGCACAGACTTGCTGTCATTTAGACAAATTCTTCTCTTTTTTATTTTTTTAAAGACAGGGTCTTATTCCATGGCCTACCATGCCCAACTAATTTTTTAAAACATTTTCCTAGAGATGAGGACTGCTCAAGCAGTCCTCCCACCTCAGCCTCCCAAAGTGTTGGGATTATAGGCATGAGACACCGTGCCTGGCCAAAATTCTTTCTTAGTAGAATCCTCCTTCTCCCCTAAGGTGGGTTGTACTAGGAATGGTTTAAATTATACCTATTGGTTAATGATATGGAGGCAACTGTAAGTAGACGTGGTTTTACTTGCTTGGGCAGCACTCATGCTAATCAGTGTACGTTGAATAATGCTGCATACATCTTTTTATGTTCATGTTTCTGAAAAGTTGCATTTTATGTGGATAGGTTCATCACAAGACCTATGAAGATATAGATAAACACGGAAAATATGACCTTTTACGTTCAACAAGATACTTTGGTGGAATGGTGTGGTATTTTGTAAATAATAAAAAGATTGATGGTTTGCTGATTGACCAGATTCAGAGAGATTTGTAAGTATGATCTTAGTAAGTGAAAGAATCATTCTTATTGCCCTAAGAGTTCATCTGTATTTAAGCTATGGTATTTTCCAATGATAACAGTGTACTGTCTAGTGCTTGCTAACCTCAGCTTATGGAGTTTTTCTTTTAGTATAATAACCTAGCTCTCCTAGTTTTTGCTTTTATATAAACAGTGCTAGACTCTTGAAAGAGTAAGTGGCTTTGGATCTGTACTGTAAACCCTCAATAATAACTTATCCTGAGGTCACCAATGCTTCTAGGTTGGTGAACTTGCCAGATTCTGAAAGGAGGATTAAATAGGAAATGTAAAGAAGTAGAAATAAGCTCTGTGGTTATTTTCTGGTAGAACTATTTCTAGGGCTTTTCAGTAAACACCATCCTTTAACTTATGAAAATACTTTTGATACCCTTGCTTTTACAAGATTTTTAAGGCATCAAAAAAGCTGCTTTTCAGAGTAGCATGAAACAAAAAAATATCTGTTGTATTTTAGCATGAAGCTGGTGTGCTCCCAGGCTTCTAGCTGGAAATAATAATACAACTTGTAATAAAACTGAAGAGAAAATAGTTTTTGAGCATCTTTCTATCAGTTGATTTAGGAAGGCCAAAATGACAAGGAAGTAGCATGGCTGTAGTAAGAAAATCAACTTTCTACAAAAAGCCCTTGCTGGACTCAAAAGTCTGAACTACAAGACAGTTTTGAGATTACTGCCACCTTCAGACTGTTAGTTTTTGACTCCCAGAGTATCCTAACATGTAATACAAACCATATACACAAAGGTAAGGCATGTAGAACTGAAAGTTCCACAGAACTTATCTTCAGAATAAAATACAGCCCATACTTGGAAAAAGGGCAGCATGTCTCATAGAAACAACATTCCTAATGATGATGATTTCCAGGCCAGCCCATTTCACCAGCATATGTAGTGCAATATAATCAGAGGGCAGAAATACACCTTCATACCCCATAACTGGGGCTGTGGTGATGGGGACGCTCAAGTGACTTGCCTTCATGTGCATTATCTCCTGTGAATGAATTTTGCACTTATAAAGTTTCTTGAGTTTAATCATTCTGAAGTTGTTTTATTATTAAAACAGTATGTTCTTATAAAAAATTAGAGCGATACAGAAATGTTTGAAAATTAAAGTTCTTTATTGGGGTGTATTAATAAATATTATAGTGTTACTCATCACATGTAAGCTTTACATCTGAAGCAATTCATGCTTACTGGGAGGGAAGTTTGGGTACTTAGCTTTTCCTGCTATTCCTAGGTAAAGGCCCTCCTGTGGTCATTCTGAACAGATCAGTGAGCTTACTGCAAATCCCAGGCTGGACAGTAGAGGGTGCATATCCTCACTGAATGAAGCTCAGGCAAGAATTAGGATTCTGCACACATTTATTCCAGACTCAAGTCCCACTGTTAGTTTTTATATTGAGATTCTTTTAAAATCTTTTTGAAATATAATTTATTTGCTCTTGAAGTATGGGTGGGGTGTTAAGCTAAATTTAAATTGTTCTGTGAGGCACAGGCATTATACTTCAGCATGAACCTAATGAAGCCCTGAACATACCAACAGGTAGCAATCCAGTTAAGCTGTTTATAAGGCCACACGCCTAAGCTCCAAAGGGAATTTTAATTTTTTACTGGGGAGACATTTCATTGCTACATTTAGTAGACTTTGTTAGATTATACAAGCACAATAGATTTGTAATGAATATTTTTTATCCCCCCCCCCCCCAAAAAGCTTTACTATACCAACAGCTGTTTTCCCAAGAGATGGCCTTTAGGGTACATGAGCCTCAGGATAAGCCCAGAGCATTTCTGTAAGGCTTCCAAGGCTTGAGGAATTCTATACTTACTCCCACTGTCACCCTGCCCTTCATCCCCCAGCTCAGGTAAAGGGAACACAGGGAAGGCTGAAGAGTGCTAGCTGCGGAAGCACTGAATTAGGGTGTCCTCAGCCCTCCATTCCCAACTGGAAGCCAGTAGTTCACTTAGTGTATATAGCAGAGCCTCAAGAGCACAAGCATTTTGCATGTTATTTTTATATGCCCTCCAGTGATGAAATGGCAAATGGTGGGAAAGTGTCAGCAGTGTGAGAAGATAGTGATTGTTTGGTTTTGCTAGGAAAGTTTTAATGTTGATAAAAATTGTTTATACATTTCTGAGAAGTACAAACCAGAAGAACTGAATTCTTGTTCTGGCTTTTTCCTAGGTAGTTGTGTGATGCTGAAGTTAGATTACTGATGTAGAACCCGATTTTCCTTTTTGTCTGATGTGTGTGTATGATTTCAAATTTGCTTCACTAGGATGCTAGTTATTTTACTAATCCGTTCCTGTGAATAGTCTGGTGGCCTGAAAGTCTTTCCTTGGAACCTTAGGGGGGCTCTTGTAGAGGCATTTGTCTCTGTTAGCAGATGTCACTTAGAGGCAAGTGACTTTGAGCTCCCTGTGACCACCACCCTCCTGCTTATGTGGGATGAAGCTGTATTTCTGTCCTCTGAGTTGGGTTAGACTATTACATGCTGGTGAAGTGAGCTGGCGTGGAAATTATCTACCATTAGGAATGTTGTTTCTGTGAGAAATGATGCTCTTTTCCCAAAAAGGATATAGCCACATTTGGAATATATTCACTTTCATAAATTGGACACTTCCTGCAATGACTCCTGCCCTACCTGCCTCACGGAGTTGGTGTGAGGCCTAAATTAGTCAATTTTCCTGAAAATGCTTTTGAAACTGTAAAAGTGAAGGTCCTTCCCCAATACCCCCAGCCTGAGGAAAGTCTGAAATGTAGTTTGAAGTTGGCACACACTTTTACAGGACTGTGAATCAAATGAAGAAAACCCTTAGATAACATTAAACCCTTTCGTTCTCAGAATCGATGATGCAACCAGCTTGGTCCAGCTGTATCACATACTCCATCCAGACGGCCAGTCGGCTCAAGAGGCCAAGGATCAGGCTGCTGAGGGAATAAATTTAATCAAGGTAAAGTTTTTTTTTCCATATTGGTGGTTTTGTGGTAGTAATTGAGTTGGGAAAAATTCAGAATTGGGTCATAATTAATGGTAACTAAACAGATTTGTGAATATGGGACATCTGTGGTCTTGAAAACATCAGTATGATTTGTCCCCCTATTTCTTCAGCCTGGACAACAGAAACAGGGGAGGAGGGGGTTAGAGTGCAGTAAAGTAGGTTGAGTGATGTGGCTAGCAGCTGGAGTCCAGAGAAGTTCCGACAGTGCAGGGAGCAGCCCCCTTGTTCTTTGGAGCATTGGAAGGGCTGAGCTGCATCTGAGGTGTTCAAGTCACCAGCACGACAGGGTAGAGGACTAAGTAGCACATGTCCCCCAGAGCAGCTTCCTGTCTGTGTGTGGTCACATCACATCGGGGGAAATGGGCATGTGTCAAGAAGTGGAGAGTGTGATGCTTGTATATCACCAAGCCTTAGCTGTTCTTCATTTTGGAGCTGCACACCTCTCAAAACCATGGGCTTATATACATTTATCTGTAAATGCTGAGAGTTGAGATGATTTTTTCAGGAAGGGAAGGGGAGGAGATTGTATAATTTCATCTCTTCTAATACCCAGAATATACGTGGTTTTGTGGAACTGGCTTCTATCCTGGTAATACTGTTTGCATGCTGCAAAACAGTTGTAAGTTTTACTAAGGAAACAATGACCTGTGATGACATCCTAGGAAGAGTAGAGAGAAACCACAGTACTGATTTTCTTTATGAACCTGATAAAGCACAATGTTTTTGGAGAAAATATTCTTTAAAGTGAAAAATCAGTTTGGCAACTTTTAGCCTCCAGATTTCTCTCTAACCTAATGGTTTTTGATCTAGCAGGAAGTATTAATATTAATACAATGTCAGGGTCTTACTTGGATACTTCTGGTGTTTAGAATTAGTATTGCTTGAAATGTGTTGGATATTGTTTTTCTGTCCATGTGTGTTTATTAGTGTATAATCGGGAAAAATTGTGAAATTTGAAAGACCTTTTTAAGTAGGACTCTTTGCTACTACAGAAATGCTAATGATGTCTCAAAATTGAAAAAGTTTATAAATAGCATATGTCCTATTGTTTTAAAACTTTACTTTTTTAATTTAAACAGGTCTTTGCAAAAACAGAAGCACAGAAGGGAGCCTATATAGAACTAACACTGCAAACTTATCAAGAAGCACTCAGTCGCCATTCTGCAGCTTCCTAAAAATATTTTAAAAATACATTTATTTTACTAAATACTGACTACATTTCTCTGTTAATATTGAGCTAAACATTAAAAAATGGCCAGATTAAAAGGTATCAATTTGTAGTTCTCCCTACAAAGCAAAAATTACTACCCTACTCACTTTCCTAGGCTACAAGGATATTTGAGTGCCCGGTTATGAATTTTTTGAATCATGTTAGATGAGTGTACAGTTAAAAAGTTTTTTTGTGTGTGTTACCAAATAGGGTAGATGGTAATTTGGACAGACCCCAGCTTAATGAGGTCAGAGGAACAGAGGTTTCACAGCCTGACTCCAGAAATGGGTAGCTGCTAGATAAAATTGGGGCAAGACTTGTGGAATGATGCAATGAGGTCAAGAAAAAGGGTTTAGAGAATTACAGCATGGATATTCAGCTCTAAGAAAAATGTGATTGACAGCATTTGAAAATGCAGATTTAGTTATGCAAATAAAAGAGAGTGGGGCTGATCCCTAGGCAAGGTGTAGTTGCGGCTCAGCCTTCTAAAACTAGAAGCCTGTTTTCATTACTGAGAAAGGAAACAAAAGTATCTTCCATTAATTCAAAAGGTTTTATGAGATACGGTCTAATAGTATGAAAAAAATCAAAGCCCATGTCTGTTTTAGTTAACAAGGAAAACACAGTGATTTAAATGCTGCACATAAACTCTTCTTAAGATGATGTGGGCATTATGCTCCCAGTGGTCCACAGTATTTACATATAAAAATGTAAGAAATGTCTCACAGTCCAAAGCACTGTGGTCAGGGTAGCAATCAATACCTATATATAATAATGATCTGTTTAGTCAGGTAAATGGAAAGCATTACAGTCAGTCATCCAAAATATCTTCATCCAGATTGATATCTGTTGTGTCAATATCTTCTAATTCCAAATTATCCAAATCTACTTCTAGTTCGAGTAAACTCTGCAAACAAAAGAGGGTAATTAAGTTTTACAGTACTGTTAAAGGAAAGTTATCCGTGGGTTCATGATCCAAAGTGGGAACTAAAATTTTCTTAATAGTCAAGAAAAGCATCTTCTCATTTCAAAGCCCCTGCTCTGAAACTTGATTCTGTCACTTAAACCACAGAGGCCTATGTATTCTCCAAATATTGATGGGGAGGAGGATGGGGTAGAGGGAGGTTTGAGTATGATGTCTGACCTACCTTTTCTTCTTTGTTGGCTGTGTGGGAGGCCACAATAACTGGAGTAGGAGAAGCAGGTTTCCCATCAAGTTCCTGAAACCCCAAGTGAAGATATATGTGAAGACAAGGGAATTTACTCAGGAATTTAAAGTTTTCCCCCAAGAGAAGGATGATCAGAATTAGGAAGTGGGAGATGATGTTTAAAAGTGAACCATCTCAGCCAAATTTATCACATGAAGTCCTCTGCTGACCTGTTGAGCTGTAGATCTTGAGGGCTGAAAGCCTTTTGCCTCTTCCATGACATTTCTCTCTTCATTTGGCTATCGGAGAATAAAGCAATGATGAAATGAGATATTTTGAAATCATAATTTATCTATGAACTTGGCCTAAATCCCAGATATCAGCTCTTAATTTTAAAAAAAGTATTTACTGCAGTTCAAAATCTGAAGTCATGAATGTACTTCCACCCTGTAGTTACAATAAATGAAGCTTGACATCCTGGCCACTCACCGTGACAAGTGGGTACTGTTTGGCTGGCCACAGATCAGCATGTGTTTCCTTCACCCATTCTTCCACAACAAAGGCTTCTTTTAATCCAGGGAATAGGTTTTCATACTCTGTTGGATCAGCAAGGGATTCTGCTGCTTTCTGATTGACTTTTGAGAGATTCTCTCTCCAGAGTTTCACTACCCTATTATAGACATCATGGAACCGAACAGAGACTAAGTAAGTCTGCTCTCTTTTTATTGGAAACATTTCTTCCTAAAATTAAAAGTCTGTACCTTGAAACCTGACTGGGTAAGTAAGTTCGGGCCAGGAAGGCAGCTTCTGGCAGCCGTCCAGTTCTAATCAAGAGCTCTAGGCAGGCATCAACCCTAAACATTAAAAAGGAAAGTTACTGTTACCAAGAATAAACACTATAATAATGGCACTTAACATAAAGAAAGGAAATTTAGTGTTGCAAAGCCAAAAATCTCCCCAATTTTCACGCATACATCTATGTCACGTGTCTTTTAATGGTTGTTACATAACACACTCCAAGGGTATGAGGGATAAGACAGCTTTCCTGACTACTTTGAATCTACTTAATTTTAATAATTCCTAAGAACCTAAAGGGGCTTTTCAAGAGGAGTTAAGGCAGGTTAGATTAGCAAATATTAAAGGCATAAGGATATATGCCAGCAGAAATTCAGTTCCACAAGACAAATATGTAGGGTAGTGTCTCCAACACGGGAAGGGCCAGACAAGCCAGTGGTGCCCAGCAGAATACCAAAGTCTTATTTTTTCTATTTTAATTTCATTTTTTTTCTGTGCAAGTTTTATGAAGTAGACAATGTGTTTCAGAATTCAGAACTTTTTGGATTTTCGAAAGGTGATACTGTATGTATACTATGTATTACCTCACATCCTCAGCATGAAAAAGCCACAAACAGTACTTATGCAGGAATGTTAAATGCAATAAAAATGTACCAAGTTGGTATAAAAGCAACTAAAAATAGGAAAACAGAGTTCAGCTCAGGTCTTGCCATCAAAACAGTTATAAAAAACTGTTTTCAGAATATTTTTGGATTTTTGAATTATGGATAAGGAATAGTGGGGTCTATTCTTACAGGCATATAAATTCATAAATACATTCACATACATACAATGGGGTGCACATTCAAAGTTCCATGGCGAAGTATGGGATTGTAAACAAATAATCAGTATGTAGGGGAAGGTTAAAGAATATTTTCAGGCCAGGTGCGGTGGCTCACACCTATAATCCCAGCACTTTGGGAGGACAAGGCAGGCAGATCACCTGAGGTCAGGAGTTTGAGACCAGCCTGCTTAACATGGTGAGACCCCGTCTCTATTAAAAATCCAAGCCGGGTGTGGTGGCACATGCTTGTAATCCCAGCTACTTGGGAGGCTGAGGCAGGAGAAGGGCTTGAACCAGGGAGACAAAGGCTGCAATTAGCCGAGATCATGCCACTGCACTCCAGCCTGGGCAACAGAGTGAGACTCCATCTCAAAAAAAAAAAAAAAAAAAAAGAAAAGAATACTTTTGTGTTTTATTTCATAATACTGCCAACTAATGTCCAAATAATTTGGTTTATGCTAACTCAGACTTAAAAATACGAGACATCTTCATGCTTTATAGTGTGCTCAAATCTAAAAGTAGCTGGCATACTTATCCCCTTTTGTTCTTGCCATAAATGGATCAAAATTATCCAATTTGGGTAAAATCACCTGCCCTTCAGGTACCTACTACAGCAGCTCAATAGCCTGCTGCAATCATAAAATAAAATGCTTCCACCATTAACTGGCAGGACTGTTGAGAAAGGTGTTTAACGTTTCTCCCACTTGAGCCTCCCTGAACAGCTCATTTAGCTCAAACATTTAGATCAGATGTGCTAAACGCATCTCTTGCTGAAGGTGAGTGCCACCAAGGCAGCACTGTCCTGCTCTGACTGCCCGGTCTATTCAACACCATTTAGCCATTCATCAGTTCTCTCTAGGGCTCATTCTTCACATGCCTCTCCAAAAACCATCCTTGGTGTAGAATTAATTAATCTTTTAAATTAATACTCACTTGCCCTGTAAAAAGTAGCTCATGAATGCCACATTATTTTTGCCATCTCTCTCCGCACCCTCTGCTAGTTTGTTCACCATATTAGCATTTCCAGAGGCAGTGGCCAAAAGCAGCAGGCCCCCATAATCCTGTGCATGGTGCAGGCACTCCTGGGCTAGGCCAAACTGACATTTACTAATGGCAAGTTCAGCAAGTTGTTTCCACTTCTGTTCTGACTGTAAGAAAAGAGTTTCCAAGTTAAAATATCTTTAGAAATAAGCATTTACATTTCCAACATTATTCTGTTAACTGTGTGGACAATGGAAGATACTTATATAGAGAGAGAGCTGTGCTTAAGTTGGCTCTATCAAAATAAGAATGGCTAAAATGTACAATTCAGGAAACGGAAATTATTCACATATACAAAATGAATTTAAATCAGTTTTAATGATGTGTGAATAATTATAATCAACCCATTATATTTTATCTTATAATTACACAGGAAAAGTAAAACCATCTCACTGGAGTTTTAAGGTAATTAGACTGCAATTATTTTAACAGGTGATTTAATACTGCTTTTTTGAAAGCATACAGAACTGTTTATGTCTTTAAATATTTCACAATAATATTATGTCTCACTTGTAGCTTTTCAAAACTCAAAATGCTGCATGTTTAGATGATCTTAACATAGCTAAAATTTATTTTGCACATCCGAAATTAATTTACCAATAAATGCTAGTCTTAAACCACAATTGGGAGCCTCAATATACAAAGATCTATAAAAATATCATTACAAAAATGGTATTAACATTTCTCCCACTTGAGCCTCCCTGAACAGCTCATTTAGCTCAAACATTTAGACCAGATGTGCTAAGAGCATCTGCTGCTCAAGGTGAGTGCCACCAAGGCAGCACTGTCCTTCTCTGACTGCCTGCTCTATTCAATACCAAAAGACAAACGGGTTGGGCTGTCTTTCAAAACCCTTTTCAAAACCAACGTATTTTTAGCTAGTTTCAGACTCTGGCAAATGACTGCTATGTCTGTACTCTTAGGCTTTCCAGACTAGTTTACATACTGTTTTACATCTTACCTTGCAAAATATATCTCACTTAAGATATGAAAACAATTTTTCTTAAACAGAGTGCTAAGAATATCTCCAATGTAATCAATTTATGCAAAGTTTAACATAATACATCTTTTAAAAATATCAGAGACAATAACTTCACCAAAATGAGCCACTAATTTGCATTTGGGAAAACTTTAATAACAAAACATTATACCAAACACATAGAAGTACCTACTGACTTTTCCATCAGTTATGAAAAATCATGAATTAGTACATACCTCTGCTTCCACTGCTAACTGGTATGCAATTTTTAACTCTCCAAGTTGAAGAGCAAGCTCAAAACGATGCTCAGGATCTGTGGATACTGTAAGAGCTTGCTGCTTGAAGCCCTAAACAGATTTTTAAAAATTACATACATATGTCATTTACGCATACAAAAATGTATATATGTTTTATATATATACACACACACATACACAGTGTACACACATTCACAGAGAAAATCATTTCTCTCTCAAACTAGAAACCCCACTATTTAATGAGAAGATGGAATAATTAAGGAGCCATTAAAGTAACTGGTAAGAACAAACCTGGCAGATAAAATAGTCAGTGACAGAATTCTTACTGTTTATTAGGATAATGGAAGCTTGCTAATGCTAAACTCAAGTAACTAGTAAAACTGGAAATGTAAATATAAACAGATATGTCAAAAAGAAAGGAATTTTGCAAAGTTGGGACTGAACAAGAATCATTTCAAAAGAAGAAAACTAGCCGCAGCAGTGTAAACTTAGCTGTTGGTAATCTACTCAACTAGGATGGGAAGTAGAGATCATCTAGTCCAATCCCTCATTTTGCACATAAGACTATTAGCAGTAAATGGGCAAAGAAAAGGGAGTCAAATATAAAACCTTCCAACTTTCTATCATCTGTAGGTCATAGCAAACATCGTGTATTCAGGTGCAGTCACCAATCAGGTGTCATTACCTATTCCTTTATTGTTGGTCTCAAGTCCAGTTTATCAGCAAGTATCCAAAAGACAGGAAGTCTAAAATTTCCTTCCCATGCTCCATTAAGGCATTAAGAACAAGCTTTTAAACCAGGGGTCTCCCAACCAACCGGTCTGTGGCCTGTTAGGAATCGGGCCGCATAGCAGGGGGTAAGCAGTGGGTGGGTGAGTGAACGAGCATTACCACCTAAACTCTGCCTCCTGTCAGATCTGTGATGGCATTAGATTCTCATAGGAGCGTAAACCCTGTTGTGAAGTGTGCATGTGGTAGGTCTATTCCGTGCTCCTTATGAGACTCTAATGCCTGGTGATCTGAGATGGAACAGTTTGATCCTGAAATGCACCCCCCCCCCGTCTGTGGAAAAATTGTCTGTCTGCCACGAAACCGGTCCCTGGTGCCAAAAAGGTTGGGGACCACTGTTGTAAATCAACTATTGTAATTATTAAATTAGCCTCTTCTTCAAGACAAACAGTACTGATGGGGTCATTTTTCGCTCTAGGGACGTAATGTGTTAGACTGAAAACTCGGATAGTTTACCTCTTCACCAGACTAAGAGGGAATGCTCAGTTACGGGAGAGTCAAGATTGAGAAGCTGGACAGCTTTAGGGTTCTGTCTGGCTATATCTTCAGGGTGGCTTTATCATCAAGTTTGAAATGTTTTAACTTAGCTTATGCAGGCTGCCACCCCGCCCCCATCCATCCATGAATACGATGTAAATAAGGCATTCTAAATAACCGGAGTTACTTTTCTTCACTAGCATTGATACAGATAACATAAAACCCAAAAGTGGAGGATGGAAGATCTCTGGAACTAGTCAGATACAGCCAAGGGCAAAACAGATGAAATAAGGCAGACTAAATATATATAATTTTGTTTTCTGCTAATTCCCTACTACTAATAAAATCACACTAAATGGATTTTTTTTTTTTAAGGCACGAACTCCCAACACACAGAAAGGGAGAGGAAACTAACAAAAGTTTGGAAGCTGGAAAGCTGGTGGAGGAATATAAACATTCTGTTAAAACAGCAGAGAAAACAAATCCTAAATCAGGAGTGAGAACAGCATAGAAACAATGTGATTTACACCCAATATGTCTCATGAATGGTAGTGCTAAAAACAAACAAATTGCCCTAAAAGCATTTAGAAACTCTAGATCTGCTCCCCTCTCCCACCTCTTGACAAAGAAGACAGGTTTATTCTTTGGAGAGGGCAAACTAAAGAGTCTCCAGACTAGGAGATTCCAAGCGTACTTGGAGGAAGAAGTACGGAGTATCAAAGGAAAACAGGAGATTATGAAAATGGATACAGAGACTCAATGAAATATTAAATACTGAGACTCTAAGGTATCTTCTGTTGAGACCCCAGAATGATGGTGACTGGGGAGCTTTTCACTAAAATCTACTGAGCCCACGGGAAAAGACTTCAAAATACTAAAATGTCAACTCCATGAAGGCTACATGTCAGCAGAAACAGTGCCTAGTACATTGTTAAATTCGTTACATAAATGGAAAGTCATCAAAAATTCATTAGCTAAAGATACTGACATTGAGACTCCCTAATCAAATGGGCCAACCACACCAGATACTGTGAAGTCCAAACCCAATATGCCCCACCCACAAATTCAGACCTTCTGATCATCTGTTTCTTGTACCTTCACTCTTAAGTGAGGGCCCAAGGACATCAGATACTTGAGGAAAATCGCTAACAGGAAAGATGGAGATCAAAATGAAGCAATAAAAGGAACTTGAAGGAAGCATACCATATAGGGGGAAGAGAAAACTTCAAAATCTAAAAACAAAAATATTCATATCTGTAGAAGGATAAGAGAAACTTTTATCTATAAACAATAAGATTTTAAAAGAGAATAGGAAAATCAGTGCAGGACATACAACATTAACCATTCCAGAAAGACAGAATACAGAAAACAAAGGAAGGAAATCACCATAGAATGATTCATGAAAATCTTTCAGAAATGTAGGACATAAGTTTCCCATTAAAAAAGCTCATCTAATAACTGGCAGGATTAATGAAAATTGATTCCTACCAAGGCCTACCATGATTATAACATTTCAGTACAACAGAGACGACATTCAGAAAGTTTCCACAGAGAAAAACCAGGTCATGTACTAAGAATGAGGAATAAAAACGGCTTTAGACTTAAACAATAACTACAAGGCAATGGAACAATGCCTTCAAAATTCTGAGAGAAAATTACCTCCAACAATTCTATACCAGTTAAATGGTCGAATATGTTTTAGGGTAGAACAATGGCACTTTCAGATATTCAAAGTCACAAAACAATTTATCTCCCATTAACAACCCTTTTCTCAGGAAACTGCTGAAGGGCGTGCTCTCCCAAAATGAGGGAGCAAAGCAGGAAAGGAGATAGGGGTATAAGAAACAATGGATCCAACAGGACAGAAGCAAAGGAAGCCCCAACATGATAGTGAAGGGAAATGCATGATGAGAGCAGGAAAACCAGTGCAGTCTGAAGGAGACTAAGCAAACTGAAAGGAGATCTTCGGGAACTCTGGAGAACCAGCAAAGTCCAGGTAGAACTAATCACAGGTACACAGAAAATTAAGCAAAGGGGGAAAAGAGACAATTATAGACTCCAGGGAAAACAAACAATTGCAGGAAAGGAAAGCTAGATAATATGCTACATGGTTAACCTGTGCGCAGTGATTGCACAGCCATAATAATGTAAACGTTTGAGTAGTGATCAATCAAAATTAGAACTGTTCTGAGAGATGAAGGATAGGAAAGTGGCGTGTATGTGGTAGACGCAGGGGAATGAAAGAAGGCGAAATCCTCATCTTCTACAGAGGGGGAAGTCACAAGAAATGCCTAAAGCTAAGAAATGAAGAAACTGCTATACTGCATGAAGATACAGAAATAAATACCAAAAGAATTAGATAAAATAAAGTACCTCTAGGGAGCAGGAAGCAAAAAGGAGGGAGGGCTGCTTTTTTCTTAAACTTTGCAAAACTTATTTTATGCTTTGCACATATGTGATTTTGCTTAAAAAACACTACATAAGAAAAAGTCAGGTCATGGTACATTTTATATTATATGTATTTTAATCACAATGTTTTTAAAAAGCAGATGGGGTAAAGAGAAAAATGTAGTGTAGAATTGAAAATATCAGGAGACTGGAAAAGAGGCACAGAAGAGGAAGACTGGTATGTTCTTCCATTTGTTTGTGTCCTCTTTTATTTCACTGAGCAGTGGTTTGTAGTTCTCCTTGAAGAGGTCCTTTACATCCCTTGTAAGTTGGATTCCTAGGTATTTTATTCTCTTTGAAGCAATTGTGAATGGAAGTTCATTCATGATTCAGCTCTCTGTTTGTCTGTTACTGGTGTATAAGAATGCTTGTGATTTTTGCACATTAATTTTGTATCCTGAGACTTTGCTGAAGTTGCTTATCAGCTTAAGGAGATTTTGGGCTGAGACAATGGGGTTTTCTAAATATACAATCATGTCATCTGCAAAGAGGGACAATTTGACTTCTTCTTTTCCTAACTGAATACCCTAATCAATATCGTGAAAATGGCCATACTGCCCAAGGTAATTTATAGATTCAATGCCATCCCCATCAAGCTACCAATGACTTTCTTCACAGAATTGGAAAAAACTGCTTTAAAGTTCATATGGAACCAAAAAAGAGCCCGCATCTCCAAGACAATCCTAAGTCAAAAGAACAAAGCTGGAGGCATCACGCTACCTGACTTCAAACTATACTACAAGGCTACAGTAAGCAAAACAGCATGGTACTGGTACCAAAACAGAGATATAGACCAATGGAACAGAACAGAGTCCTCAGAAATAATACCACACATCTACAGCCATCTGATCTTTGACAAACCTGAGAGAAACAAGAAATGGGGAAAGGATTCCCTATTTAATAAATGGTGCTGGGAAAATTGGCTAGCCATAAGTAGAAAGCTGAAACTGGATCCTTTCCTTACTCCTTATACGAAAATTAATTCAAGATGGATTAGAGACTTAAATGTTAGACCTAATACCATAAAAACCCTAGAGGAAAACCTAGGTAATACCATTCAGGACATAGGCATGGGCAAAGACTTCATGTCTAAAACACCAAAAGCAACAGCAGCAAAAGCCAAAATTGACAAATGGGATCTAATTAAACTAAAGAGCTTCTGCACAGCAAAAGAAACTACCATCAGAGTGAACAGGCAACCTACAGAATGGGAGAAAATTTTTGCAATCTACTCATCTGACAAAGGGCTAATATCCAGAACCTACAAAGAACTCAAACAAATTTACAAAAAAACAAACAACCCCATCAAAAAGTGGGCAAAGGATATGAACAGACATTTCTCAAAAGAAGACATTCATACAGCCAACAGACACATGAAAAAATGCTCATCATCACTGGCCATCAGAGAAATGCAAATCAAAACCACAATGAGATACCATCTCACACCAGTTAGAATGGCGATCATTAAAAAGTCAGGAAACAACAGGTGCTGGAGAGGATGTGGAGAAATAGGAACACTTTTACACTGTTGGTGGGACTGTAAACTAGTTCAACCATTATGGAAAACAGTATGGCGATTCCTCAAGGATCTAGAACTAGATGTACCATATGACCCAGCCATCCCATTACTGGGTATATACCCAAAGGATTATAAATCATGCTGCTATAAAGACACATGCACACATCTGTTTATTGCGGCACTATTCACAATAGCAAAGACTTGGAATCAACCCAAATGTCCATCAGTGACAGACTGGATTAAGAAAATGTGGCACATATACACCATGGAATACTATGCAGCCATCAAAAAGGATGAGTTTGTGTCCTTTGTAGGGACATGGATGCAGCTGGAAACCATCATTCTTAGCAAACTATCACAAGAACAGAAAACCAAACACCGCATGTTCTCACTCATAGGTGGGAACTGAACAATGAGATCACCTGGACTCGGGAAGGGGAACATCACACACCGGGGCCTATCATGGGGAGGGGGGAAGGGGGAGGGGGGAGGGATTGCATTGGGAGTTATACCTGATGTAAATGACGAGTTGATGGGTGCTGATGAGTTGATGGGTGCAGCACACCAACATGGCACAAGTATACATAGGTAACAAACCTGCACGTTATGCACATGTACCCTAGAACTTAAAGTATAATAATAATAATAATAATAATAATAATAATAAAAAGAGAAAGACTGATAAATCACCTCTAACATTTAAAGGGGGCACTGAGAATGCAGAAGGAAGCGTGTAAGAAGGGTGCATCATATGCTGTAACAAGTGCCTTAAACTCACAGGAGAAATTCTATTGCCACAGAAATCAGTTGGCAATTAAGAAATAAAGTTTTTCAACTCCATACTAATTTGCTTTCAAATTGCTAGTTTTAAAAAACAAAAAGAAAACACAAAACCTCTTACCTGTTTTTCCAAAAAGTGTGCAACTCTGGTCCTCTGTTCTTTTGGAATGGTAGGAAGGACCTTATCAGCCATGCTAAAGTCCCTCCGCATGACGGCTGTCTGGTATTCCAGGACTGAAACCAGCAGGGAATAGCTAACGATGTTCAATTCTTTATCCCCTAGATAAAGCCTGTTGTCTTTAGGAATGTAGCCTAGGAGATACATCGTCCTATAAAAGACACAGAAACCAAGTTAGAAATTCAAATCTGCAATTACACAAACACACGCCCCGCCAACCTGCCTCTTGCTCAAAACCTTCCCGTCTGATTGATACATTTTTGGTTAACAATAGGCAACCTACTAAAACTATTCCACTGAAAAATCAGCCTATCAAGCCAACAACAGATTTTGCTAAAATTTAGGACAAATGCGAAATGATACGCAGGTACCTGTCCAAGTGGGCAATGGTGACTATTTCTCCTCCAACATAATAATTTAATCTGTTCACAGAACTTGTGTAAATGAAGCAATCGCCTACCCAAAGCCCCGTTTTCACAATTTCCTGAATCTCACCAAGAACCTGCAGAAAGAAAATAAAGACTATTACTTTATCCAACATCAGAAATCTCTCAATAAAAAGCTGAATATATTTGAGGGTGATATGGTAGAATAAGGAGTGCAAAGTAAAATCCTTCCTATTTCCAGAAAGAAAAATTTTCCTTGGAATTTTTTTTGAGATGGAGTCTCTGTTAACCAGGCTAGAGTACAGTGGTGTAACCTCTGCTCACTGCCAACCTCCGCCTCCCGGATTCAAGTGATTCTCCTGCCTCAGCCTCCCAAGTAGCTGGGATTACAGGTGCCTGCCACCATGCCTGGCTAATTTTTATGTTTTTCGCAGAGACGGGGTTTCACCATGCCAAGTTAAGGTCAGGTCTTAAGCTCCTGACCTCAAGTGATCTGCCCACCTTGGCCTCCCAAAGTGCTGGGATTATAGGTGTGAGCCACTGCAACTGGCTGGAATTTCTTTCCTCATTTAAGAACAGATTCCTACTCAATATAACCCTTAGGCTCAAAACAGAAAAAAAAAAAAAAAGAACAGATTCCTAGATTAGTATTTGTAATGTGAAATCTCATTGTTGGGCCAAAACCATGATATAAAAGAACACTGATCTAAACTTAGACCCTTCATAACTTGAAAATGAAATATTAAGTATTTCACAAAATCTAGGATATTTGCATAATGAATGATTTACCATTTGGGAGCTCATTTAAATCACTGACTAAATAGTCTTAGGACCAAAACGACTACAATTTCTTTACTGAAAGATATCAAAGTAAGTCTAAAGAATTCCTAAAATCAAAGCACAAATTTCTTTTAAACGTATTTTCAAAGTTTGATCTATGAGTCAAGATTTTAATTTTCACATTTCACCAGAAATCCTTAAATGCTGTCTCCTCAAACCTAATTTATAACGAAATGTTAAAATCAGTAAAGTCTGTTGTAAGAATATAAATCATTTAAATACAAAGCTAAAAGCGATGTGCTGATCCAATTACCTCAAAGGCATCTTCAATGCCATCTTCAGTAACTCCCTCATGTGTTTCCTGTGCAGCCAAGACTTTTTCTGACAGATACTTAAGGATAAAAAATGATTCCTCAGTAGCAATACAGACTAGCTCTCCAGAGTCAGACCAGAAAATCTGCAACACAACAAAATCATAGACAACTGATTTGGATTTCTGAGTGGATATGACAAACTGCACATACTTGATTTCTTACAACATTTATCTTCTTGTATCAAGATAATAAGTATTCACTTAACAATTTTATGTGGCATTATTTGGGAGGGTGGCCAGGGCAGGGCTATGCTATTTAGCCTAGCAATAGAAAGTCCAAAGTGAGACAGGAAAGGAGAGCTGTCAGTAAACACTGAATGTGCTACACAGAGGACCAGTAGCCTGTTCCCTATTGCTCTAGAACAGTGTTTATCACTTTTTCTTTTTTTTTTCATTTTCACCCACCCTCCCTAGAAGTCTTTCTGGACATTTTTCTAATCACCTCCCCCAATGAAATGTTAATACCACAGATATACATATATAATGCATACACATATGTATAGCTATGCTTTATTCATAAAGAGTAAGCCCCCCCAAGCCAATTTTTACACCCATTGAGAATGCACACTCTAGAACCAGACCCCAGAAAAGCTGGTTTGTTTCCACAGATAATCTCCTGATAGTGAAAACTGTCAAAGCAGCGGGCAGTTCTAAAGGTAAACACTTTGTCACTGGAGATGGTCACCTCAAGTTCAAGCAGCTATCATCAAAACATATGAAAAGGTTTTCTGAACTACGTGGAAGAAGGCATTTCCAAGTCAAGAATTCTGTGACTTCTTGTTGTCAAAGCATGCTTTTTTCCTCTGTCAAAATGGCACTGCCACTTACCTCCAATTGCTCAGAAAATCAGGATTGTCGTACCCTAATGAGGCCGTAGACAATGTGTATTTTAAAAAGTTATTTAAATTCTAAGTGCTGTTTTATATTTTAAATGGCTTTTGATAATGGAAGAGGGACAGCAGGGTACAAGACACTTCTTGGCCTTAGGGACCCAGAACTCATCACAAAAATAAATATTCCAAAAACAACAACAGGGGAAACTCACATGTTTGGGCTGAATTTCAATTCTTCGTATGAGTTCTGTATTGTCCCAGTCATAGAAAGCTAAGCCATTTACAGATCTGACTCCCAATAAGAAGCCGCCATAGATACCTAAAGGGAACATAAAAAGAGTTTTGCTTAGGCATTTTGGAGCCATTACAAAGAATTTAAAAATGTAATACGTAGACCACACTCACTTTCTGCTCCAAAATCTGGTTTAAATGATTTTTTTTCCTTAAAGTTCTTAAATATCTTTACAACACTGTTGCTCTCTCTTATTGCATACCTGGGAGAAAAAAGGGAAGGCAAACATAACATGTTATATACTACATCATAATTCCACCAAATGTTGGAAATATCTTCAAATATTTTTCAGTAATTATGCAAAAATATAAAATAAATATTTGAAGATTCTCTGATGTACGTTTTCCTAAGACATCAGAGAACTCCTTACAGTTGGACAAATGATGAAAGGGTTTTTTACTGTATATGACATGAATTACTAGGGCTTACAAACCACTTTAGTAAATAAAAATGACCCAAATGTCTGTAATAGGTGAATGCTTAAACAAATTATAGTATATTCATATAATGGAATAATACTCTGCAAATAAACCAATTACTGATCCAGGCAAGAATATGGATGAATCTCAAAAAACATTATACTGAACAAAAGATGCTAGACACAAGAGTACATACCATATGATTCCATTTATATGAAACTCTAAAGACAACTCTAATCTATATAGAGACAAGAGGCTCTCATCAGTATTTTCTTGGGCCTGGGGAATGGGTGGGTAGGGGGTGTGGACAGACTGTTAATGGAGACAAGGGGATTTTGGGGGATGATAGAAATGTTCTATAATTTGATTGTGTTACTGGTTACAGATTACATACGTTTGCCCAAATCTACTGACAAGAACAATAGTCCTCCCTTATCCACGGGGGATACGTTCTAAGCCCCAGTGGATGCCTGAAACCTCAGATAGTACTGAATCCTATATACACTATGTTTTTTCCTAAATGTAAGGTGGATAGCATATACAATGTGGATAGATATGCTAGGCAAAGGGATGATTCACATCCCAGGTGGCATGGCTCAAGATTCCATCATGCAACTCAGAACACTGGGCAATTTAAAACTTATGAGTTGTTTATTTCTGGACTTTTCCACTTAATATTTTTGGAACACAGTTGACTGTGGGTAACTAAAACTGCAGGAAGGGAAACCACAGATGGGGGGACTGCTGTACAACTAAATGATACATTCTGTCTTCTGTAAATCATACCTCAATAAAGGTGATTTAAATAATAAAAACTGTGACAAATGGCTCATTAGTCAGCAATGATCAGCAACAACAGATTATATTCAGGCCTCTGCCTTGAAAAAAGTGGCTGTGGCTATCACTGGATATTTGAGATTGTGTGAGGAAGTGATGTGATGAGGGCTTTGCTCAGGACAGGAAAGATGCTGAGCAAGGCCTTGGCTGGATAAAGCTGAAAAAAGGGAACTATCAAAATAGAGGAAGAGGTATGCTGAGAGAGGGCAATTCATCAACTATAATTTTGCCTAAGATAACACAGTACCTTTGAATACACAGAACTATATGTATATAAGTGTATTTAGGAAATTTATGAAAAGATCAGAACAATTCCATACCTCTCAATAAATCTTACTGTTGTCAACATTTAAAAAAATGTATCTTATTATGCAGTGCTGAGCTTAAGTTACCCCACTATTGGGGGCAAGATGCAACATAAAATGTGAGGCAAACAAAACTAAAAAAAACTGTGAAGATGTAATTCACTTGTGTGGTCTGAAAACACTAAACCCCTAATGTTTATTACATGCATTAAACAGGAATGAAAAAGGAACCAGAGCCAATGACTAGTAAAAAAGTCAGAGTTAAATGATCTTTCCTGCTTTTAATGAGAACATTTTATGAACATTCTGAATTCAGACAGAAATTTGTTAAGAATGGGCAGCGGGTACTATCACAGAAAATAAGTTTTAAAAAAGATTTCACAAATTTCTCATCAAAATGATCAAATCACAACATCATCCCCAAGTAGCTCACAAAGGCCAGTAGCACCAGGACACTACATTATAGGGAGGGCACGCCAAGGCCTGCCAAAGCAGACATGAGGGTCTACTGTGCCTTAAGCCCATAAAGCACCAGGTCCTGCCATGGGCTCCACCAAAGAAATGGGTGCTGGGTCCCCAGTTAAATGGGATTATTTTATCAGTTTGAGTGAGCCAGCTCAACACAGAACAAAGAAAGGACAAAGACAGCTCACGCTATACAGTTGCCTCTGACTCTAACGGACAGCTCTGGTGAGAACTGTTTTTTAACACGGAGAAGCGCAGCCCACATCAAGCCTTGAGAGTCCTCAAGCAGCACACAACACATCTGCAATCACGGCAAGCTGGCTATCACGCAGCCAAAACTTACTCTGAAGAATCGTGGGCCCATGCAAACTCCTGAGCAGATCCAAAGCTCTTGTTTCTCAATGCCATTGCTGTGTAGATGATATACTCCCCATCACCACACACCACCACAAACCTAGAAATCACAGAAGCCAGGGAGGGAAGTACAAAGGACCAAAGACATGTAGAAGTTAAGAAACAATAATTCTTGTTATGGTAAAAGAATTCTAATAACAAATGTTAAAAAAATTCTAGCCAACAAATTAAAAAGGAAATTATGAATATAGCATTACTGCTGAAATGTTATTGGAATGGCCTTCTCATAAAGGCAACTGGAGACAGGAAGGTGAGAATGGCTGGAGATGCAAAGGAGGAGGATTCCAATTATTCAACCAGTATTTGTTGAGCACCAAGATGCATAGCACTTTGCTCATGACATTTATACCACAGGAAGGCACTGTATTATTACAAAGACTATCTTCATTTTAAAGCTGATCACTCAAATGAATAAAAATATCTCACTCCAGTTTTTAAAGACTATTAATCAAAATACAGAGGATATTTTAACATTTAAATACTGAGAAAAAGAGAATGCTGCATAGTCAACTAAAATTTTCCCAATGGACATAAAACAACTATCTTTAAAGTTATTTATAACACTTTAAAGGCTGGTATCAAAAGACTGGCAAAGGCAAAACTTGTGGCCAAGAATGTTCTATGATATTAAGGGAAATGCACATAATGCATTCTTAACCTTCATAAGACAATTACGTTACAAATAATTATGGATACAATTTATTGAACTAGGTAGCATACTTGGTTTATATCCTTTGTCTTTTTCAATATTCAGCATAACATTATAAGATGCCCAGACCTGCTGTAAAATATTTTTAAAGCTCCACAGATTTAGACTTCACTGTGCTAGAAACTCCTCTCTCACAAGATGTTTGGTGACTTATAAATCTTAAGGGAGAAATTAAACTGACAGTTCAAATTACAAATAAGAAACAGAATTATTACCAATCCCAAAACTTTTTCAAAAGATATCTCAGAGTCAAGTTTTCTTCTTAAGAGCAGTGAGTCAGCAAGCATTTAGAGAGGGTACCTCCTAAGTCTCAGCATAAGACATACTCCTTGCCCTCAAAGGAGCACATAAGAACACAAACTCAATGCATGTGAAATAACAGTAAACAGTACTATTTAACTATTCAGAATTGTGTGGTATAGAACAAGGCCAGAGGGGAAACATGCTCCATCTTTTGTGCCAACTTTATCAAGTGGCATGGCTGCCTGCAGCTGTATTGAGGACTATGAGGCCAGAGCAAAAGCACACTGAGGAATGATTAGAGATGCCAACCAAGAGTAGACTGTGGATCTGCAAACCTGTTCTAACATACACAGAGACAAATTTTGATGATGGCTTACCGCCCATTAGGATTGTGCTGAATAGTCTGAGGGTATATTTCACAACTGCCCATATCCTTTACTGCCAGTGGCAATCTTTCTCCATCTTTAATTTCAGCATCTCCCATTGCTTTTAGGTTGGCCTGCTGGACTTCTGAATGCTTGGCCCAAATTATCTTTCCATTGGCATCCATGGACATGGCAGGTTCCTCCCGACCAAGCTGAAAGAAAGACAAATAACTTTCAACAATGAAAAGGAAAATAAATAAAACCACAACAAAATAGATTATTTTTTCACCTAACAGAGAGCTCCATTTCCTTTCTTCCACTTTAAATCTTCATTGCTTAATGTCTAGTGCTTAATGAAAGAAGTGCCAGTTTTACAAAACTGGTGACTTGGAAGATGACGGTACTAAAATACAAAGAAAATGGTTTTGCCTATGTCCACCTACTGAGAGGGATAGTATAATTACCTTAACAATGATGCTCCCTTCATCATAGCCCAAAGCGACATTGTTTGACCCTCTTAGACTGGCCACGCACCATACTCTCTCCATTCCATAATTCAGTGTGCTCTCAAGCCGGTAGGTGCTTGAATGCCAAATACGTACTGTTCCTAAAACGAACAATGTAAATATTCCCTTTTGATACAAACATCTGATGATAAACTGTCAGGTGAAAGAGAGCCATAGAAGTCTTTCTATTAAAATAGATAACACTTCGTGGCAGCTTAATGACCAATTTTTTGATCTACTGTCTTTAAATGATTTTTAAAAGCAACATAAACATAACAGATAACGTATAAGAAACAAAAACTAAGAATTATGATTTTAAACATGAAATAATAACTGGGTAGAGTGTTTCCTCTGTGCCAGATGCTGTCTATGCATGATTTCTTCTCACTATAATCCTATGAAGCAGATATATGTGTTTCCATTTCATAATCTGCCCAAACCACACATTCATAACATAACAGAGCCTGATTTTGAATCCAGGTTTGTTTGACTCCAAAGCACATGCTTTTTCAGTTTTTCTTCAGGACATCTGATGGTCCTCTTAAGTGACAGAATCAAAATACATGAGAATGATGATGATGATGATGATGACGATGAAACTAATGCCCCTTTACTCTTTTATAGCTTAAGTCTGGTACTTTACTAAAAATATCAAAATCCTTGGAAACCTCCAATTATAATGCAGAGACATTACTTGCTTTAAATGCCCACTAAGTAGTAGTTACCAGCACAGGAATAAACATACCCTTCTAACTTACCATCTTCTGAACCTGTGATAATGATTGGCAACTCAGGATGAAAGCTGGCACAAGACACATTTTGGGCATGTCCTTCCAGTGTCTGTACACATGTTTTATTCTGTAATTAAGACATAGAAAACATTTTTTATTAGTGAAAAACATGTAACCAGTCCACCCTTAATTTTCTCAATGTACACATACATTATAAATGATAGTAGTCATGACAATCTAAATAATATCCAATACAGAAGTTTTTGAAATAGGATGATCTTGTTGTATATATGAATATTTTATCTAATTACTTTGTAAAATAAATGTAAATGTAACTATCATATTTAAAGAAGCGGAAAAAACCCAAGAAGGCTTTCGTATGAATATTATTTTCCCAAATTCTCGGGGTAATAGATTTACCCCTTAAAACCCACACTTACTATCACTGGCTAAGTAGACAGTACTGCTTTAGCCTTTAATATTTTTATTCTGGATTTAAGTACAAATGTGAAAATGTTTCAAGGTGAAACAGACTTTCTAGGCCTCATTTTATTAATTGCTTATAGGAACTTTTGATGTAGAAAACAAAAATATCTAAATATAAGAAAATCTTAGAGATAGGAAGCATGTTAACAAGAGTTCATAACTAGGTTTACAAGAGTACTATTTGGCAAAATGGTATTTGTTGATCTGCTAGCTGACAAAAATGAATACAAGTCTATCAATGAAGATTATGGAGGATAATTCAACATTAAAATGTTAAAATTTCTAAATGCAATTACAAAATGAAATATGAACATGTTGGTATTTTATTTTTAAAATCTTGATATGTATGCATTGTTTTCATTTTTATGGAGACTTCTGGGAACACAGTTTAGGTGCAAATACTGATACCTTAAGTTATTATGCTGGGAACAGATTTCAACAACCCAAGTCTTAACTGTCCTATAAGAAATAGTAAGAAACATATCTAACATATGGAAGTAAGGTTATGAAAAGCTGTACCTGATAATCCCATATTTTAACAAGACGGTCATCTGCACCTGAAATGAGGTATGGTTTGTCCCCACCACTGTAGTAATCAATACAATTCACGCCCTTCTCATGTCCTTCCAAAGTGAAGTTTGGTGACGAAGAGCCCAACTGCCATACCTGCAGAGAGAAACAGCATCTGCCAGTCAATATGGGGCCTTGCTTTTCAAAAGGCAAATCTACCACATTTCTGACACAGTATGTAAAATGCCAAAGCCCAGGAGAGAAGAGCTATGAAATTTTATTTTTTATACTGTTTGGTTTTTGTTATTTCTCATTTTACTTGAATTCTCAGGAGCCAAAATCACTATGGCGTTCTTTAAAAGAAGTGCCAATTTTCAGGCTTTATCTCTAGAGATTATAATTCAGTCAATCCACAGTGAAGCCCAGGAATCTAGATGTTTAAGACTTTGAAAAACACCACTTTAAGGGTATGAAATTATTTTATTATAGATTTAATATACAGCTCATGAAAGTGGATTTAGTAAGATATATTAAAAGTGGCTAGGTGTGGTGGCTCACACCTGTAATCCCAGCACTTTAGGAGGCTGAGGTGGAAGGATCACTTGAGCCCAGGAGCTCAAGACCAATCTGGGCAACACAGCAAGACCTTGCCTCTACAAAAAAGGAAAAAGTAAAAAGTTAGCCGGGCATGAAGGCACACGCATGTAGTCCTAACAACTCAGGAGGCTGAGGCAGGAGGATCGCTTTAGCCCAGAAGTTTGAGGTTACAGTAAGCTGTGATCATGACACTGCACTCCAGCCTAGGCAACACAGACCATAACTCAAAAATATATAAATAAATAAAAATGAAGATATATTTAAAGGAGAAAATTACTGCCTAATTAAAAATTTAAAATGTAGAAAATTGTTAAAAATTACCACAGCACAGAATTAAGCTTTATCTTTACAAATATTTACTGAGTGCCTACCATATGGGAGGCCCTGTGGGGAGTATAAATATGTGTAACAAATGTTTATCAATTACTGTATAAAATAAACTTTGCTGGAACTGAAGATAAGACAATTCTTGCTCTCAAGATAAACCTAATTTAGTAAAACAAAAGTTTACAACTAATTTCAAAGTTAATCTATGTCAAAAGCAAGGAAAATCCAAAGGCAAAATAACTAAGGTCAAAACCCTAAGATATTCAGACACATAACATTTTACATAAAGGAAAACTAGTAACAGTGTTTTATATAGGTGAAAGCAAGCGTGTAAGCAAAAGTTAATTTATTTTAATTCAATGCATATGGAAATATTTTATTTTATTTATTTATTTATTTATTTTTAGATGGAGTCTCGCTCTGTCGCCCAGGCTGGAGTGCAGGGGCGTGATCTTGGCTCACTGCAAGCTCCGCCTCCCAGGTTCAAGGCATTTTCCTGCCGCAGCCTCCTGAGTAGCTGGGACTACAGGCGCCCACCACCACGACCAACTAATTTTTTGAATTTTAGTAGAGACAGGGTTTCACCATGTTAGCCAGGATGGTCTTGATCTCCTGACCTTGTGATCAGCCCGTCTTGGCCTCCCAAAGTGCTGGGATTACAGGCGTGAGCCACCACGCCCAGCATGGAAATATTTTAAATATTATGATTTAAAAAGGGAGCATGATTGCCCTCACTGCAACATGTATTAAGCACCTAGATCAGGTAAGGCACTTTGCTGTTTGCTACTGAATGTTTGGGGAAAGGGAGTGACACATAGTTTCTACCCCCAAAATTCAGTATTTCAGGGGATAAAGATTTTCAAAAACATGTAATTAAAATTCATTCTGAGAAAGGCTGAAACAGAGGCAAAAAGCAATGGAAGAAATGGGATAAGCATAACTGGCTCTGCCTAGAGATGAAGTGGATGTCTGACAAGAGCTTCTCAAGAGTAAATATTTGTGCTAAGCCTTAAAAGCTGAGTAGTTCTCCGGAGGAAAAAAATATCAAAACAGGAAAATAAAGAGAAGTGCAGGCAGATGGAAAAGTTCAATGAAGTAAGGTTTTGTGAACATTCATGGCCTCTAGAGGATGGTGAGTAGACCAGGGTTTTAGGAGATGTCGCATAATATTAGCCCAGGCTAGTCTTGGAAATCCTTGTATTCCACACTAAGGCATTTGGACTTTATCCTTAGATCAGGAACTGACAAGATGCAATCTATGTTTCAGGAAGATAACAGACAGCAATGTGGTGAAATGGAGTAAGAAAGACAGAATAGAGGCATATGGAATTTAAATGTAAAATAGATGAACGATGAGCAGAAGTCAACAATGAATACTGAAAGGAGAGGAAAGTAGTATCCTAGAAAGGATACTGGCATTTTTCTTATTCTGGGTTTCCAAAGGCTAAAAAATTTTTATAACATGCTGCTTCCACACAGAAAAACACTCCTCATTAAGAGCACTGAGTTGCCACAATATTTTTCAAAACAGAACATGTCCTTTGGATTAAAATGAGAAATCCTATTTTTACTTCAAAATAGACTTTTGAAAAAAACTTTTAAGATGGATCAATTTCTGGCCAGTCAATAGTAAAACACCTAAGGCAAGTATAGTTCACTAATAATGATAACTGACACAAACTGTGGACACCCTACCTTGATAGTCCTGTCCAAAGAGGCACTGGCAAACTGATTGTTATCTTTGGGGTTGATCACAATCTGCATAACATAATGGGTGTGTCCTTCAAACACTTGTGAGCAAGACCATTTTTTATCCCAGTCCCAGAGCTTAATAAGCATGTCATCTAGGCCAAAAGAAAGTCTCAAGTTAGTTGTAATTTCTATTTTTTCACTTCATAAGTAAGACACAGTCTTTAGGGGAAGCAAACCTAACATAAACCACATAATCCATGACTTACAGAAATAGAATCAAAACCAAATAGCGTTTTCAAAATGCTTATTTATCTTAAAAATAAATTTAACTCTCTACAGAAAAGTGGAGATAAAATAAATAAAATAGATTAGAAATAGCAAATATAAAAATTTTGTGAAAAAACTTAAAAATTCAGTGAGCATTAAAGAATGAGCAAAGAGTCATACAAGTTTGATTAGAATCTAAGCGTGACTGAATACTGATAGCAATGACTATGTAGAGAACAAGCATTTGCCCTCACAAGACTGGTTTTTAAAAAGTTTTAAATTACTTCTCAATTTTTAATTTAAACACATTTCAAAGAGCTATTACCAATTCAGTGCTACCTCTTTTGCCAGTCCTCCAAGAGGTCTACTATTTATACACAATACCAAGGAGCAAACTAGTTTGAATATGAAGATTGAACTGACTAGGCTCTATGGCAATCTGCCAAAAACTCACTCATCAACATGTAAATGACCTTTCTGTTCAGCAGATGTTTAAACATCTAGACTTGTAGGTCTTCTCTGACAGGAATTGGAGCAATCATTACACAGATCCTAAGTACAGTTGATACTTCATTAAAGTACAAACACAAGCAGCATCAATAGCACAGTAATGGATCTAAACAGTTTAAAGGCTGCTTGGAATTAGAATTCTATTTGTAACAGCAGTTAAAGAATAGCATGTCTCAGTGAATGAAAATGAATTACCCAAAGAGATGCACATGACCAAAATAGGTCATCTCTTACCACTGCTAGTTAGAATGAAAGGCTGGGTTGGATGAACAGCAATACAGCGAATGTAGTCTGAGTGTGCTTCAAACATATGAACTCTCTCCAGAGTATTGTAATTGAACACTCTAATCTGCATGTCATCCTAGAAACAGAAATTTTAAAACCATCATCCCTATTATCAAGTAAATTATACAAAAAAACTGCATCACAGGCTCAAGGAATGAAGTCTATGCTTCAAAACAGTGCTGTAACTAACAAAACAAACCAGGAATCGAAATCCTGCAACTAACTTACATAATCATTCACCAATTCAGAAAACGGGAATAGAGATTCATATTAATTACTTACTGCTCCTGTCACAACCCAATTCTTCCTTGCAACAAACTTTGCAGCTCGAACAGGAAGATCACATACTTCAAATGTCTTCACCAGTGTCTTTAAAATGTAAAAAGAATACACAAATTGAGCTGTAAGAAAATAACCACAAAATCTACTCTGTTATATTTCAAACATCCAATTTTTAAGATCACTTCTCATTTTAATATATTTTCAGGCTAAAATATAAAAGGTCAACACTAAAATTTTTTAAAAAGACAAATTATCTTTTAATAGATTCAAAATTAAAACACTTTTTAAAAGACAAGAGAAAGCAAATGTCCACAAGATGGTATTCCAGATCCTCTGTGCTCCAGCCCTTCCCTCCCTTTTCTAGCCTCACCTTTGGCTACTCCCAGCCTTACCTCTGCTCTTGTTCTCTCTGCCTTGAAAATCCACCCATGGAAACTTGTACTTCCCTTTCATAATGTAGCACCTCGTAATTATGTTTGTGCGAATCTTTCCTGCCAAGCTCTCCAAAGGCAGGAATATTTTTCACACTGTATAGGCAGAAGCTAGAACAGTGGCTGGCACACTAAATTAGTGTGTAATAAGTATTTGTTGAATGAATTAGCTCTTAGTTTTTCTTTTTTTCTTTTTTTTTGAGACAGTCTCACTCTGTCACCCAGGCTGAAGTGCAATACAGTGGCACAATCTTGGCTCACTGCAACCATCGCCTCCCAGGTTCAAGTGATTCTTATGCTTCAGTTACCCAAGTAGCTGGGATTACAGGTATGCGCCACCATGCCAAGCAAATTTTTGTATTTTTCGTACAGACAGGGTTTCACCATGTTGGCCAGGGTGGTTTCGACCTCCTGGCCTCAAGTGATCCACCTGTCTCAGGCTCCCAAGTGCTGGGGTTACAGGCGTGAGCCACCACACCTAGTCAGTTTTTTTGAAATTGAAACCCATAAAAGTGACTCATGAATAAGGTACAATTCTTTTGCATGCTTTAGCAATATGATTCCATACAAATGTTATTATTTATTTTTTTTTTTAAATGAAAACACAGTGACCTGTATTTTCCTCTGAGCTACTCAGAATGGAATTATACACACAGGATAAAGGTAGAAAACTAGAAGACCCTCCTAGAAAAAGCAGAGATAATGGTATACCTCTATGTTCTCCTTCTTTGATGCCTGTTCTTAAAAGTCTGAAAGCCAAACTATCATTTTCCAATCCTTTTTTGTATCAGAGAGCAAAAAAGAAATAACTAAGAAACCAATATAATCTTACTGCTTGATTAACCATGTGCACTAAAAAAGTAATACGGACCGGTTCATAAGAACTGTCCCACTCTGATTTTTCAAGCCAGAGTTCAAAGATTCTTTAGACAAAGGCTGAATGAGTAGGCACTTCAACTCCAACCTGCAGAATCACTACCAGCTGACTAAAATACAGACACTGAGAGTAGACAGAACATGCAATCTGTAATGCAGCAGAAAAATCCACAAAAGCTCATGAGGAGCCAACAAACTCAGGGATCTAAGCAGTAAAAATAAAGCAGCTGCAGAGCAAATAGCCAAGGCTCAGCGCCATGTTAGGGGCTATGACCGATGCAAATGAAGAGTAGGAAAAGCTACACATGCGATACATACAAATGTTCAATGTAGATTAGGAAAGTATAACTAATGACTAATACTTATATGGTACTTAGGTTTCATATACAATTTTATCTAATTTTATCTTTTTGACAATCCTGTGACATAGGGAAGGCAATAATATCATCTTTACTTTAGATAAATAAAGAGGGTCAGCATAGTTAAAAGGCTAACCTATATAATTTAATCAGCAAGTTGGCTTCAAATCCTAAAATACTATGTTTTTTAAACCACTGCATGTACCACCTCAAAGAATATATAGTATCTCCTTATTTGAAATTCAAGTGCATTTAAAACCCTTTTTACTTCCAAAAACCTTTTTGGCTCTCTCAAGAATTTGCTTTCAACACAGGAGTGGTAAATACTGTTGGTGATATAAACACAGGGAAAAAACAGGGAGAACCAAAGACAGATCAATCATTCAACAAAGACTTACTATCTACTAGGAGCCTGACAGTGTATCAGGTAGTGCCTCATGCACTGGACCAACAGTGGGAAATAAGATGAGGGTAATCCTTGTCCTCATAGAACCTCCATTCTTGGAGGAAAGAAGGAAATTAAACACGAAATTACCAATGAGATGAATTATGAAAGGGGAAGCAGATGGTCCTGTCATAGGGCAGAAAAAGGTACAGAAGAAAAAAAGGAGGCAAAGCGGAAATGCAGATAAAGCAAAGATATATTACAATAAAACCTAGAGAAAGATAAGAAAAGTACGCCTGGGCTTTAGAATATAAGATGATCAAGTGACAGAGCTGAGAGATAGGTAAATGTAGTTGATAAGAGGGAATCCCTAGGAATAATCAGAGAGAGAGGACACCAACATATCTGTTAAACATAAAATCAGAAATACTTTAAACATCTCAAGAACTAAACAAAAAGGAAAAAAAAAGCAGTTATTTGCATCAAAGCAAAAAGAATTCACAAGATAAAGATCTGAAGTTGTAGAGAACACAAATACTGAACTAGTGATAAGTGAAATGCATATTATTAATTCATTGAACAAATAATTATTGAGCACTTACTATGTGCCAGGTAATGTTACAGGCACTGAGATACAGCAGAAAACAAAATGTTAATTTGCATAAAATGTCACTGATGGACTATGGTATGGTTTGGATTTGTATCCCCACCCAAATCTCATGTTGAATTGGAGGAAGGCCCTGGTGGGAGGTGATTGGATTATGGGGGTGGATTGGAGGTGATTGAAGGTGGGGATGGATTTCCCCCTTGATGTTCTCGTGATAGTGACTTCTCATGAGATCTGATGGTTTAAAAGTGTGTGGCACTTCCCACTTCGCTCTCTCTCTCCTGCCATCATGTGAAGAAGGTGCTTGCTTCCCCTTCACCTGCTGCCAAGATTTTAAGTTTCCTGAGGCCTCCCAGTCATGCTTCCTGTTAAGCCTGTGGAACTGTGAGTCAATTAAGCCTCTTTCCTTCATAAATTACCCAGTCTCAGGTAGTTCTTTACAGCAGTGTGAGAACAGACTAATACAGGGTAAAAGTTTAGTGTACAGTCATTTCTGTTTCATTACAGTGAGTATAAAAGTGTAAAGTTGTTTTTAGGTTTACTTCTGGCTTTGGTTCCTTGATCCTATTCTGCCATTTTAAATTCCTCAAATGTGAATCTCACCTGGATTTCAAGAACTTAACTTTGGACATTAAGGATAATTACTATATAAGTAGACACAACTGTATGGCATAGTGCTAACTATAAGCTTTGTACTCTTAAATACAGTCTAGGAAGACTAGAAAATATGAGATAAACTAATTTGAAGGATATGTTATTTACTCAGGTGAAAGAGGAGTCAAGCATTTAGGCAGAGAATCTGTAAGATGCATGTATAATCAAAAGCTGACTATAAATATTTCCCTGATATAATCTATATAGCTGAGTGAAAGATTTATCTGCATATCATTACATTGGGCATTTGGGAGAAAAATAAATTTAAAAATATCATTCTTAAGATAGAATATTCACTGAATGGAAAATTAACAATTAAATACTTTAGCGAGTGATCCTATAATACCATCAGTTTTCTCAATTTCAAAAAAGAGCTAATACTACCTAAGTCAGAGTTGTCATATTTAAATATTATATATAACATACCCAGGACAGTTTCTCCTACAAACTATCCCCTCATAAATGTTAGTTCCTTCATATTTAAAATACTTCGTACCAACTTGAGAAAGCGGTTTACATATAGCTTCTGGATTCTGTTACAGTATTTCTTCTCTTTCATTATAAACACAGTCTAACATAGTATTTTATTTCTAATAAAGTCCTGAAAAATTCCTACCTGTGTTTCATGATTCCAAACACATACACTGCCATTGTAAAGACTTGCCAACATCCATGGCTCTGTAGGATGCAAATCCACACTCTTAACTCGATCAGATCTAGCAGTTAGCTTTCTTTTGATATCAAGTCGCAAAGGCTAAAAAGAAACATTAAAAAAATTAAATTGCTAAGCCAAATAAAATATGTTTGAGATCTTAACTAAATACAGTGCATGAATAGGGCTACAAAACAATTCAGTTACAACTTTGCTAAGCTTTTAACACAGTTTCAAGTCTAAGCACCTATTTCTTCACTCACACATGCAAAAAGATCAGAATATTTAACATTATAAGATTTACAGCAGTGGTCTTCAAACTTTTTGCTCTAAGGATTCTCCTTACAAATTTTGAGGACCCCAAAGAGCTTTTGTTTATGCGAGTTTTATCTATTGGCATGTTACCATGTTAAAAATTAAACCCGAGACAACTTTAAAATATTTATATATTAATTCATTTTCAAATAACAAAAATAAATCCAGTGCATGTTAACTAAAATAACGTTTTTATGAAAAATATGTTTTCAAAAAAATTTGGTGAGAAGAGTGGCAATATTTTACATTTTTGCAAAACTCTTTACAATCTGACTTAACAGAAGACAGATGGTTTCTCACTATCTGCTTCTGCCTTCAATATGCTGTGATATGTTCTTTTGGTTAATGTATACAAAATAATGCCTGGTCTCACAGACACATAGCTGGAAAGTGAGGGAGTATCTTAATAGTTTTTTCAAGTAATATGATGTTATTCTTCAAAATTCGAGAAGTGGTAATTTCTTAAAGGTTACTTGAAAGGTAATATCTGAAACTGTATCAATCAGCTGTTTACACTTCGTTACATTAAAATCCACTGGCTTAGTCCATACTTTGAATGGATCTTTCTCTCATGCATGCTTTTCTAACATTAAGCATTGGTCATTTGGGAAATGCTGGTTCACTGAATTATGCACATCTTCTAGATGCTAACAACATCATTATACTATAAAAAAAATTACATTCACTAATTTCACCACCTACTTCAACTGATAAGCCTTTAAGCACTGGAAATCCATCAAGTTCAGTGAGTTTTTCAAAATTCAAACTTTCACTTGAAAGCTCTAATTTTATCATTGGCAACAAATACTGTCAGGGACCAGCCAACCTCTTTCAGGTTTTTGAAAAATGTCTACCAAATATTCAAATCTGAATAAGCAGAGTTTCTCATTGTTTCAAGTAAAGCTCGGCTCACAATTTAAAAACGGTGCAAATGTTTCCCCTTGAGACAACCACCATACTTCAGTATGCAGTAGAACTGCTTTATGCATCCTCCCCATTTCACCACACAGAATTTAAAAGACGCATACTCAAGTGTGGAGAGGTAATAAAATTTTTACTGTTTCATCAATGACATTCTTAAGTGAAACTGGCTTTTTAAAAAACTGTGTAACAATGAAGAATAAACTAACAGTACAATTTGGTGTCACTTCACTAGCAGTTTTACCTTCCATTAGTTTTACACCATCAGTGCAAATATCGACATTGTGAAAGGTGCCAATAGTGTTTCACTGTTAAGAAAATACTTTTAATTTGTGGACCTCCTAAAAGAGTATTAGGGACTCTTAAGGAATCAAAGACCACATTTTGAGAACCTCTAGTTCACAGAATTATCTTTTTTTTTTTTTGAGTCTCGCTCTGTTGCCCATGCTGGAGTGCAGTGGCGCCGATCTCAGCTCACTGAAACCTCTGCCTCCTGGGTTCAAGCAACTCTTCTGCCTCAGCCTCCCGAATAGCTGGGACTACAGGTGCATAATTTTTTGTATTTTTAGTAGAGATGGGGTTTCACTGTGTTAGCCAGGATGGTCTCAATCTCCTGACCTCATGGTCTGCCTGCCTTGCCCTCCCAAAGTGCTGGGATTACAGGCATAAGCCACCACACCCGGTCAATGAATTTTAAATATTCACAAATCAAAATTTTGTGCCCAGGTCAATAGTGTCATATCAGGAAATACTCTGAAGAAGTGTTATTCATGAGTTCCCAGTAACCGTAAAGCATAATATTGAGTTCTTCGGAGAAAAGTGGTAGATTTATCTTGGCAAAAATACTTGTAAATGCTAGGTAATGTAATGTGTGATCAATAAGGGTTATATCCCTGTGCATGATGGTCTTTGGTGTCAAATGGGAATGTTTCAAATATTTTAATGGATTTAAATTACAGAAACAATGAAAACTGGAACAATTTAAAACAAAAATTAAAACATTCTCTCAAATCAGAAATATGAATAGTTTATAATAGCATTTTCAAGCCAAATTCTTCCTTTGAATTACAGAACAGACAATTATTTGAACAACTATTTTCTCCATTCTCCAAAAAATGTCATTCTAGGAGAAAAGTTAATTCATTATATACAATGATATTTTAGGGCAGTGGGCTTAATTCTCTCTAGGCGGCATGCTGAGAAAAGATAATTTAAAATATATTTCCCCTTTAGGCCGGGAGCGGTGGCTCAAGCCTGTAATCCCAGCACTTTGGGAGGCCGAGACAGGCGGATCACGAGGTCAGGAGATCGAGACCATCCTGGCTAACACGGTGAAACCCCGTCTCTACTAAAAAAAAAAAATACAAAAAACTAGCCAGGCGAGGTGGTGGGCGCCTGTAGTCCCGGCTACTCGGGAGGCTGAGGCAGGAGAATGGCGTAAACCCGGGAAGTGGAGCTTGCAGTGAGCTGAGATCCGGCCACTGCACTCCAGCCTGGGCGACAGAGCGAGACTCCGTCTCAAAAAAAAAAAAAAAAAAAAAAAAAAAATATATATATATATATATATATATATATTTCCCCTTTAACAGGTCTTAAACACAACCTAAAAGCTCATTTGGCAAGTTGAGTTACTGTCAAATCTTTATTGCTGTGATCTTCTATGATGATCATGAATGGGACAGAAATTTAAGGTTACCTTTGAATATAAAAAGAAGATCTAGCAGAGATAATTTCCTGAGACAACACCTCACAACGCTTTTACTCATCTTTTTGGGGTTATCAAATTTGGGTCATTGACTACTTCAAGTCTTGTTCTATCCACACCTCCTTCACTTTCAGCAACAACCTTTACCACTTACTTTAAAATATCAGAGTTCTCTGGCTCTTCTCTTCAATTTCCTCAAAAATGTTTTCACTGTCATCAGTCCCTTCCTCTCTCCAATTTTCTACTTTTTTTTTTTTTTTTTTTTTGGTGAGACAGAGTCTTGCTCTGTCACCCAGGCTGGAGGGCAGTGGCGCGATCTTGGCTCACTGCAACCTCTGCCTCCTGGGTTCAAGCAATTCTCCTGCCTCAGCCTCCAGAGTAGCTGAGACTACAGGTGTCTGCCACCATGTCCAGCTAATTTTTGTATTTTTAGAGACGGGGTTTCACCATATTGGCCAGGCTGGTCTCCAACTCCTCTCCTGACCTTGTGATCCACCCACCTCGATCTCCCAGCCCCAATTTTCTACTTTCAAATAATCACCATCTTCACATTCCCTGCTAGTTCAGAAAAGCAAGGCTTTTTACTTCATCCATTTCTGAGTTCTGCCCCATAAATTACTATTGTAAATTTTAACTTCCCTTTAAATCTCTATGGAGTCAACAGGTATGAAGTGTCTATTATGTACCAGGCAGGAACCATGGTGAGGGTTTTCATATAAGCCAGCATATCTCACAATTTTTCTCCAGTAATGAGGAAATTGGACACTTATAAATTGTGAACATTTTACTTTAAAATATTTTAAGTTATTGATTATTGAGTAAAAGTGACGCTCCATCAGTTGGGCCAGGGAACTCTGAGCAACCCCAGTAAACCTCTACATACTCCCAAAGCACAAATCTCAGTTTAAAAAAGAAGAGGCAGCCAAGCGTGGTGGCTCATCCCTGTAATCCCAGCACTTTGGGAGGCCGAGGCAGGCAGATCACCTGAGGTCAGGAGTTTGAGACCAGCCTAGCCAACATGGTGAAACCCTGTCTCTACTAAAAATACAAAAAAAAAAAAAAAAAAAGGAAAAAGAAAAAAAATTAGCCAGACGTGGTGGCCCACCTGCATTCCCAGCTAATCGGGAGGCTGAGGCTGGAGAATCGCTTGAACCCGGGAGGTGGAGGTTGCAGTGAGCCAAGACTGCACCACTGCACTCCAGCCTGGGCGACAGAGTGAGATTCTGTCTCAAAAAAAGAAAAAAAAGAAAAAATATAGAACAGGCAAGGGTTCTTGTGATAATATTTCTCCCAACAGTTAAGTGACTATCTTGAATAAGACAATGTACTAGGTACTTTGGGACAAAGAAGATTAGGATGCTCACACTGTATCCTCAACTCTAAATGTTTCCCTCCATCTTCCAAAAGCTGGATGCATTCAGGACTCAGCTTAAATGCCACTGCCACCAGTAAGACCTTTCTAGTTACCCCAGCCTGAAGCATTCTTTCCTAGGGAATCCTACAGGATTTCATTTTAACTGTTCATGGTACACTTGTGTACACACCTTTTCTTGCTTTCTAGAGTAGATCCTCCTTAAAGCCAGGGTCATTGCTTATACATGTCTATCTCCAGACCACCTTATATATTTGAGTATGGGGGTTTAAAGACAGATACCATAACATAAAACTAGAGTGTCATGATGGATTTAAATTTCAGTTCCACCACTCATTTCAGATGTGCAATAGTGGGCAAATTTACTTAAGCTCTTTCAAGTTTGACTTATGTAAAACAGGAATATTATTATTATCTACCTCTTAGTGCTGTAAGAATTAAATTCAGAGTTAACCAGTTAGAGCAGTGCCTGACCTACAGTAACCACTTCACAAACATATAACCCTATCTCCCAGCTGCTGTGAGAATTAGGCAACTATGTTTAGCGAAGTGCATGGCACATAGTAAATACTCTATGGTAAATGTACAAATGAATAAATTCACATTTTATATTTTCCACAAAGGATTTAAAATATATTAAAGAATGAAGGCAATATTTCATTATATAAATACACTGGTAAATGTAAAGATGGCAAAAGAAAATGAAATTAGGCAGATCCAAGAGCCTTTTTCAAAAACGTCCATTACTGCAACCACAGCAGACCCAAACTAGAGCAGGTAGTTAGTAATATGAAGTGCTGTAATTAAGAGGCTTGAGGTTTGTTCAGTTCAGGGACTGTAACCCGGGTGCCCAAGAAAGTCCACGGATGGTGCTAGCTTCAGCAGCACATACACTAAAATTGGAAGGATACAGAGAGAAGATTAGCGTGGCCCCTGCGCAAGGATGAGACGCAAATCCATGAAGGGTTCCATATTTTTTATAAAACAAAATTAAAAAAAAAAAAAAGTCCATGGAATGAGGGGGGCGGGGTCTGTGAATGAGTGCACTAAATTTTATGCAAAAATATTTGTTTCTCTGTGCATTTTCTCTGGGAGTATTCCTAAATTTTTCCTCTGTTTCTAGTTCCAACTTTGCCACAATTAACCTTGTAGAAACATAATTTTAAAAAATGTTTTAAACTGAAGATGAGGGACTTAATCCCTAGCGTCTTCAAGCTCCAAAATGTTTGATTCTGTGCTTCATAACAAGTTTTTCTTAAAGGCAGAAAAACATTTAAATGTAAAATATTTTCTTTTTTTTTTTTTTTTTTTGAGACGGAGTCTCGCTCTGTCCCAGGCTAGAGGGCAGTGGTGCGATCTCGGCTCACTGCAACCTCCGCCTCCCGGGTTCAAACGAATCTCCTGCCTCAGCCTCCCGAGTAGCTGGGACTACAGGCGTGTGCCACCAAGCCCGGATAATTTTTTTTTTTTTTTTTTTGTATTTTCAATAGAGACGGAAGGTATTCTTACACTATTGTTTTCTTTCCTTATTATTATAACACTCTTGTGCAAACTATTCTAGGGCATTTTTTTAGGGTTATGGTGATAATAACAGAGTGCTCTAACAATTACTATTCTTACCAGTCACTGTATTTGCAAATGCATGAAAGCACACCAGCCAGCGTTATAAACAGCAACCCCTTCCTCCCAACCCTTCTCCCCTTAGATACCTAAGAGCTGAGATACCAAAGCATTTGAAATTCCATTTTTGACTCCATATACATTTGTTTTTGGCTTCTCTGCTTGTTTACAGCTTGTAGCCAGCACTCACTATCCCAGAATAAGCCCAACAGGAGTGCAGATTAACTACCACCGTTTTAAAAGGAAACTTTAGTTTTACCAAAAGCCTCCTACGGAGTTCAACATATTCGGCCTCTGTGTTTCCCTACACCACCGACCCCGCTGCAGACTGCAGGAGCTCCGGCAAGCGCCACAAGCGCCAGAGGAGACAGAACCCCTCATTAGCAGGCGTTGCCTCCCCAAACCATCCCAGTCCCCTGGGCCCCACCGCCTTCTCCCTTCCTGGAATCAAACTGGACCAAGACCCCGTAAGGCCGGAGGCGGCTGCCGCAGCGGTAGCCCAGACCACTGCTTACCGCGGCCCTCAGTCCAGAAGCTCCAGGAGTCGGCCGTAACCTATGGGACCCCGCTCCCTTCTACGGTGTCTGGACCTACCATGGCTGTGTCGGTTCGATCCCTGGCACCTCGTTTGTTACCGGCTACGCAGGCCCTGAGAGAAAGCCACCGAACCTCTGACCGTCAGACTGACTGACGTGGAACTTCCGGGAGCCGATTCTCGCGATAGTCAGACGCCAGGGCCGAAGCGCCTGCGCAAACGGCGCGCAGACCCATCCTTTCCCAAGCCCCGCCCCAGTTTCCTAGGCAACGTGGCCTTCCAGACCGCTGGTAATAGACCTGAGGCCGCCGGGAAGGAGGGGTGTGGCGTAGACCACTGGGGGCCGTGTCCTGTTGCTGCTGAGCTTGGGCTCCGACCAAAAGATAGTGATTGAAACGATGAGGAAAACGAAGGGCCTAATCCCCGCTGGACGCTAACTGCAGGGCAAGCTCCCCGGTGCTGGACTTGTGTTTCAGAGGCCGAGAACCGCTATCGGGCTTCCTCGGACTCTGGCCCTGAGGGCGGGGAACGGCGACGGAGAAGGCGTAACGAGACTCTTAAGTCCAGTGTGTTCTGGGGGCTTGGTGCGAGGCCCAGAGAGTTCTCTGCAGGCCCTACCCCGGGCACTGATTAAAGCTGAGAAGAGACGCGCTGGGCTGCGGGCTGAGCTCCAGGCTTCTGAAGTCAGAGGGAGGGCTGAGAGCTTCCACTTCTGGAGCTCCCCGGGAGACGGCAACTACCCAACCGTGTGTGTGTGTTTGTGTGTGTATGTCTTTTGTTGAGCATCGGCTGGCTGTGCTATTCATTCAACAAATATTTATCGATCTTCAGCAGTGTGCCAGACATACTTTCCTCTCAAATCTGCACATCAAACCTGAATTATCTCGGTTTAATGATGAGGAAACTCGGGCTCAAAGAAGTTAAGTGTTCTAGCCAAGACTGCATAGTAAGTGGTAGATAAAACCTCAGAGTTGAGCTGGGTGCGGTGGCTTACGCCTGTAAACCCAGCACTTTGGGAGGCCAAAACGGGTGGATCACCTGAGGTCAGGAGTTCGAGACCAGCCTGCCAACATAGTGAAACCCCGTCTCTACTAAAAATACAAAATTAGCCAGGCGTGGTGGCAGGCGCCTGTAATCCAAGCTGTTCCAGTGGCTGAGACAGGAGAATCGCTTAGAACCCAGGAGGTGGAGGCTGCAGTGAGCTGAGGTCGAGCCCCTGCACTCCAGCCTGGGCAACAGAGCAAGACTTTGTCTCAAAACAAAAAACCTCAAAGTTTGTGCTCTTTCTACCACATAAAAATACCTGTTCATTAATGTGGCTAAATTCTAAGGGCTTATGCCATAGGGGTTACACTACACAATAAAGTTCGAGGACATTTGCCTATCATGCACACTTCACGTTCACTCTATTTCCTTTTTTTTTTTTAAGAAAACATGTGGACCGTATAAAACGTGCCCTCTGGTTACACGTACAAGCGTGTATCTTTAATTTGAGAGAAATCTTAAAAGTCTTTTCAGACCTCCAGATTTTCAGAAAGGCAAAAAGAAAAATTGTATGTATGTGTGTGTGTGTAGATAATGATAATCAGAGGGAGATGATTTTGCATGAAATTATTTGGCTTTAATAGGAGCCTTGAGCTAATGTGACTGTCTTCATAGGCCTCAGTTTTCATCATCTTAAAAAAAAATCCAGCTGCCTGGTTTCTAAAGATCTTTCCATTTTTTTCTTTTTTTATGTTTCTGTGGCATTCAGTAGTGGAAAAAAGAGTCTGGAACTGGAGTTTAGTGCCAGCAGTGTGATCTTATGTAAATCGAGACTAATAATTCTAATAATTGCATACTTTGCTTACTCTGTGGAGTGACTGAGGATCTGGAGTTGAAAAAATAACTATACCTAATTTGCTTGGATAATGGAGCTTTCAATATTTCTAATTCCTGGATACTCTTGCACTCGAGAGAGTATTTTTGGATTTGGCACAGTACTAAGTAATACAAAATAAAATGATGTATCTCTATTGTCAAGGGGCTCAGCTGGGAATACTTAAATCTTTGTATATCACTGGGCACCTAAGGGTCTACCTAGCTGGTGGTGTGGGCTTGAACCCCCCAGTGTCATTCTTACTTGGACTATATCTTTTCTCATTTTTTCCACTGCAGTTAGCCAAAATTAAGTCCTGCAATTGTAGACTGTAAATTCACTCTTTTAACCGTTACATACTGAATGTGTACTATATACAAAGCACTATACTAGGTGCTGCCTTAAGATGTTACCCATAGAATTTGGTGCTGGATTTTGGTTGAAATACATTTTAAAGAAATAAAATTCTCGAATAGGAACTAATACATAACGTTAAGTATGCGTGTGTATTTCACTATATGTTCGACTGTGGGTTTAAATTAAAATCTTTTGTTTACTCAGTTTGGAGGAGACTGGAAGGTTAGGAAAAATAGCCGTTGGGAAGAAAAGAAATATAGACAAGCTTAGCAGATTGGTAAAGGGTTTCCCAAGAGGTTGACTGCAATTGATTAACAGATCTTAAAGTCTTACCTGGTCAATTTCTATTATGGCTGTTTCAGCCCTGCCTTTTTGAGGCAGCTGGGAGAATTCCAAGTGGGAATTCAGGTTGCAGTGCCTCTGTAAGTACCCTATATACACCCTTCCCTTCCCACCCTACTCCTACCTCTTCATAAGAAGTTGAGGAAATGAAAATAATTCCTTGAGAAAGAGTCAGGGTTTTTTGTTTATTATTTTAGCTTATTTGTATTTATTTATTTACCTTGAGATGGAGTCTCACACTTTCACCCAGGCTGGAGTGCAGTGGCGCCATCTCGGCTAACTGCAACCTCCACCTCCCGGGTTCAAGCGATTCCCCTGCCTCAGTCTCCCCAGTAGCTGGGACTACAGGTGCATGCCACCACGCCCGGCTTATTTTTGTAATTTTAGAAGAGATGGGATTTCGCCATGTTGGCTAGGCTGGTCTCGAACTCCTGACCCCAGGTGATCTGCCTGCCTCGGCCTCCCAAAGTGCTGGGATTACAGGCGTGAGCCGTGACATCCAGCCTTGTTTATAATTTTTAAATATACACATGTCATCACTTAGCTAAGTAAGTACTAGCATGAATAAGAACCTAGTTTCTCCCTTCAAAGGGGCTACAGTGTATAAGCAGGAAAGGTTGTTTATGCACAAATTACTGAATACCAGGCAGAATATGAGTACCCTCTGAGAGAAGTGCCAATAAAATACTCTGAAGATGAAATATCCAGTTGGGGAGAGAAGTTTCATAAAGCAGGTAGAATCTGAGGTGGACTTTGAGGTGAAGAGTATACAGGATGTTTGAGAACCAAAAAAGGTCCAATTTGTTTGGAGAATGGTATTCACTTAGAAGAACAGTGAGGCAGAAGGTTGAAGAGGAAGATTGGAGCTAGAACCTGAAGCTTTTTAAATCAGGAGGAATTGAGCTTTGAGTCAAGCAGTTGGGACTTATTGGGCCAGAAAGGAAACCTGTTTATATCTGTACTCTAGATGATTTATCTTTTGTTGATGTGTATGACCCATTAAAAGAAGTTGAAACAGACTGTACAAGTTTGGTGGAAGTGAGTATGGAAATAACAGTAATAATGAAAAACTTTTATTAAATGCCCACTATGTACCTACCTGCCGTTGGAATATGTACTTTGCGTACTGCAATTCATAAAGTAATACTAAAAGATAGGCATTATTTTCTCCAATTTATAGATGAAAAACTGAGGCCTAAATTGGTTAAGTAGTATACCTCATGCCACATTGCTCATGAATGACAGACCTGAGATGTGAACGTAAGTCATATTTAATGATATTAACACCTTTTTTACTGGATTGTAATTTCTCCTTTTTTCCCTGAGAAGCTAGAATCAACTGGATACACAAATGGGTTTGTTGAATTGAGGGAGTAGGAGGCATCCTATTGCTGATGTTTTTAATCTAATGAACCCAGAAGAATATCTTTAATCAGAGGAAGACGTGGAGCCAGTGAATGATAGTGGAGCCGATGAAGGAACAATCAGAAAGAAAGAAAGAAAGAAAGAAAGGAGGGAGGGAGGGGAGGGAGGAGGGAGGGGGGAGGGGGGAGGGAGGGAGGGAAGGAAGGAAGGAAGGAAGGAAGGAAGGAAAGGAAGGAAAGGAAGGAAGGAAGGAAGGAAGGAAGGAAGGAAGGAAGGAAGGAAGGAAAAGCAAAGTGGAGTCAGTGCGGGAACAATCAGAATAAGAGACCCAGAATAACTGTATGTCACAGAAGGAAAAGAAAGGGAAAATGTAACTGAGTGACTAGCATCTTGATAGCTTCAGAGAATTTAAGGAGGCTTAGTATTTGCAAAAACTATTGCCAATGAAATAAATGATTATGAGGACACTAGTAGCCTTCAAAAAAGTTGAGTAATGCTAGGGGAGGCAAGTTTACAAAGGGTTTAGAAATTATTGGATGATAAAAAAAAAACTGGAGGCCATGAGTATAAACTATTTTACCAAGAGATTAGTGAAGAAAGCCAAATGTTGATGTGAGACGTGTCTCACTGTAAGTGGATTGACTGTTCCTGCATTTAGGGCGTGCTTGATTTCATTATGATGGGGCTCCAAATGGATGCAGACCACTAAGTGGACCTTTGCGGTGTGAGTAGGAACTAGCCAGGTAAATGGCAAGAGAGTATATCTAGAGCATTTGACTTTTCCAGAGACCTAAGAATAGTTTAGCATGCCTGGGCCAGACAGTAAGAAGGGGGAGGATTGAGAAATGGTACTAGAAAGATAAATGAGATTCAGATTCTGAAGATTCATGATAGCCAGTTAAAGGAGTCTGGACTTTATCCTGTAGGCTCTGGGGAACCATTTAAGAATGTAAAGTAGGGTCATCTTCATGCTCCATTACTGATATATCATCACATGTCAGTTACTTTTCCTATTAGAGGAAATGTTAAGATTATCAGCTGGATTTCTGTATAAGGTGAATGAAAGCAAAAGTTTGACCACATAGTCAAATAGCAGCCTGCAGCAGACTAAATTGAGTTGGAGAACCACTGAACTGTCTTCCAAGAAAAATGGAGTTTGTGGTTGCTCAACACTTACAGGCAAATGTTGGACTGATTGCAAAAGCATTGGCCAATCACAACGTGCTGTACACTTCATGTGACTACCTTCTAAACATTTTAAATTTGTTAAATTTACTCCATGGGAGTTTGATGTAGGATTCCAGATGCAGAGGATG